TCAGTGATTAAGATTATGATATCATTGAAGCTAGATCATTATTGAAAACCTGAAAGCATTGGACGGCTGTTTCGCCCTATTGTAGGACTCCTCCTCAGTGCACATCCATGGTCCCGTCTTGTGAGATTCGAATGCAGGACCTATCAGTCTCGCGCCAGGCGCTTAACCAACTAGACCACTGAGCAGGCCGGCATCCAACGGTGTTGATGTCTAACTTCAATCAATCCACTAGATTGCGCCACCGTACACCATTGTCTTCAGTGAGTTGATATCTCACAACGGACCTGGTTGAACTCCGCTGGTAACGGCTTCTAACTAGAACTCCAAGAGTATCTCTTGAAGTCAGTCATTAGTAAGCATACGTTGATTTATATCAAAAGGGGTTTTGTGGAGATTTTAGAAATTTCACTGGTTGAAATCTTCAATTGACTCATGATTTCAACCAGTGAAATGTCTAGATTCTTCACAAAACCCCTTTTGATAATACAATATTTGTTGAAATTGTACTTTATCAATGAAATTCATTGTGAACTATTTATTTGATCTGTAATGATATATGATTAGGACAGTATCTGCTACTGATTTTACTCATGAAACTAAACTTTAAGTATACATTAGAAGTGATTTTAGTATATTTATGAAATATCTCTTAGAGGTAAAGGGTTATTAATCGAATGATAAAGTTAACGAAATATACATATCACCAAATATCATATTATCATTATCGATTTAATCTCACGTTAAAGAATAACAGAGTAAGTGAACAATAGGATAAACGAAGTGCAAAAGTTTAGATGGTAGTTGGAGGTAGTCAACAGGAAACCTTGGACCCGGGTTTCGTGCTACTTGGCAATCGTCAGCAAGGTGTACCTGTAATCTTGAGGGAACTGATGCTCCCTGGCGGATTCGATCTCGTGTCACCCAGCTTCACAGTCAGAGACATTACCACTGAGCTATCCGAGCCGTGACTAACCTCCTGTAGGACTGAGATGTAATCACAATTGATTGATCACTGGATGGTGATCAATGTCATGCTTGTCTAGTCCTTATTAGTGCAGATCGAATGCTATCGATTATGTTGCAATGTGGCCACCAGTGTAGAAGTAGATTGGATAAGGCAAACATATCAAAACTAAAGATATTTGATGTATAAAGTAAGCGATGAACAAACATACATTCACATAGAAACAGTTAAGGTTGTAATGGAATAGTTGACAAAGTCAACATATGACTCAAGAAGCTAGAATAATCCATGTGGGTTTAGTATAGTACTAATCACTACATGATTTACTCAGAAGAGCATTACAGATATTTCTGTCTATTAACGAAAAAAGAACATCATGATCATCACTACCTATTGATGGATTTACTACTGATGTCTAGGATGTCTTTCGTAAAAGTATAAGTTATTAAATGATTTCAATGTTATTAGTAGTCTGCTAACTGCCAAGTAGAATTTATTCAAGAAACTATGTACTTGCATATTACAAAGAGGGGTTCTATCACTAACGTTTACCACCAGATTATCTAGAATTGCATAGTGAGTAATGCATCGAATGATTCTTTAGTTATGAAAATGTAATTTCAAAATGGATTTGCAAAATATAGTACAATGTTTTCATTAATCTTATCTCAATACTTCATCGAATTTCCTAGGTGGAATACTGTTATACCCCGATAAGCATAATGCATGGCAACTGTTGAGATCCATTTATGGATGTTAATTAACTCAACTATTCACATTCATGTTCCTCTTTATTTTGACCTATGAACTATTAATATACGATTTATCATTCTTGAGTTATAACTAGTCTATCAGTTACTATCTCCCACATTCACAACCACATTTGGCTAATTCTTGTACAAATGTTGTTTCATATTTCATGGTACGATGTAGTCTGTTTGGTTGGTATACAAACCGAGTTTGTTTGAAATACATGATTCATATTGCAGAGGCTGAGATCGGTGTTCTGGACGTAACTGGCTGGACTAGGTAGCAAGCAGGACCGATAGGACTCTAGACTGCTCGCACGTGTTTTATGTGTGATTGGTCCGGTCGATAAATCACTGCCCTCTAATTAGCGTTATCATCATGTTATACATTAACAGGGAACCCAGGTTACATGTTATAACAAATAAAACGATTATTTTCATTAATCCATGATCCTCTACAATGTTCACTATGAAATTGTTGATAGTCAATCGGTTATCAATATTTCCAAATTACTCTGTATTTTGTGCTAACAAGAGAGATAAACGTATGTATCTGTAATTTTTTGTTAAAAGCTTAGAAATGCAGTGAGATTGATAAGTTCTAAGTAGTTACATTTACTTATTTACTCTGATGAGGTGGCTTACATTAAGTTACGAAACGTCAGAAATATAATTTTTCTACTCATTGGACTATAATAGAAATATATTTATTAGCTAAATGAATGTTGCATATTTACTGATTAACTATGAAGTTAGATTTTGCGTGAACTTTTTGTTCGGAGGAGATCCAGAAAATTCACCGGAAAAAAGCTAAAAATGGCTTTGAAAACGTTGAGAAACATCTTATCGAATAGAAGTTCTGCTATAAACATCTAGAAATTGAAGTCACATGTCACGTTTCTGATTGGATTGTTACCCATAATACTACTATGTTTAGTAGCGTTCAAGAATTTTCTGGAAGCTCAACACCGTCGAAAATGCTATAAAAACCCTAAATTTTTTGCACACAATCAAACCTTGAAGTAAAGCGTTTCTGCCATATTTTGCACCTCTTTTGTCGTGTTCAGATCGCTGTGTAGATGTAGCCTAGGGGTTACTACAAGAGCTTAGGAACCGAATCTAGCCTTCATTTAGAATGCTTATCACTTTTGTCTAGAACAGACGTTTTATCTCCTTTTTAACTTTTGGTACCTTTGGTAACATTTTTCTAAGCGATTCCATAAATTTGAAATAGTCAGACTAAATTGTATATAAATATCTGGAATGTTTTATTAGGTCATGAATATCTGTGGTTTATCAGATTTCCAACCTCTTTTTTATAAGAACTTCATTCATAGTCATTGATAAATTCATCTGCTAACTAGGTGATGAATTATTTAAAGAGTTCTTTGAGATGATGGAAAAGATTTGTAGCTCAGGTGGACGATTTTGATGAAGTTTTGGTCTCTGAGCTGGATGGTTCGGCCGTTTACTTACAAACAAATCATAGTTAATCGTCAAAATTCTAGTGTCATCTAAGTAGTTCTTTTGATTTTAGTATGGTATTCGCTTCAGTTTTTATAAACATAAAAATCCATTATTTAAATGAATATGGATGACATTAGATGGATCATTTGGAAAGAAATCTCAAAACTATGCTCATATCGTCTTTGATTCTCAAATTCTTAGTAGATCATTGTTATATCCCGACGAGAATTATGAGTAGTAACTGTTGGAATCTATTTCTAGACTAATACTAAACATATATTTGTATTGTATAATTGCTAAGTAACTAAACTATGCTTATACATGTTCCTCTTACTGTTCTTAAGTTATGCCCAGTCTATTAATTACAGTCTCCCATATTCATAGCAACTTTGGGCTAGATCTTGTACTAATGTTATTTGCTATTTTATGGTACGATGCGGTCTGTTTAGTTTGTATATAAACCCAATATGCTTGAAATATATGATTCCTATCGTGGAGGCTGGTCTTGTTGTTCTGCACTCGACAGGCAGAGCTAGGTATGAGGCAGTACCAATAAAGACTCTAGACATCTCGTATGGGTTTTATGTGTCGTTGATCCAATCGACAATTTCCTGTTCTCTAATTGGCGGTATCATTACTTTATATATGAATAGAGCACAAGACCACTAGTTATAACAATCATGATAGGTCTATTGAGTCAGATGAACAGTCCGAACCACATTTTTTTGTATGACATAAATTAATAAAACGATGATGATTATATAATTATTTTTATGATATCAGTCTGTCATAATTCAGTGTTGATATTAATTGGAGCCAATTAATAACTGACGTTTCATTATGTTGATCTTCTGACAACTTTAATAGTCGGATGTGTCAGGTTTTAGGTTTCTCTAAGCGACTAATAAATTGAGTCGAATTTATTTTAACATTTCTGATTGATTGCTAATTGGTCTATGCTAATTATATTGCCTAGAAAGCTTGATAACTAGGCAATTTAACTTAAGTAACTAAAGAATTCTCACGAATAATCAGAAAGGGGTTTTGTGGAGACTGTAGTAACTTAATATTTAATTATTGAGTCAACTACAGCTAGACCACCATTGAAATACTAGAAACACTGGATAGCCGTTCCGTCTTGTTATGGGACTTCTCAGCAGTGCGTACCCTCGGAATTCAAACCCAAGACCTTCGATCCCGCGCGCGAGCACCTGACCTCTGGACCACTGAGCCAGCTGGCATCCGACGATTCTAATGTCTAACTTAAACCAATCTACGATATTGCGTGAACGTTCATCACTGTCTTCAGTGGGAAACTGCTTCAAAGTAGACCTGTATGAACTCCGCTGGCCAGTGCTTCTCACCAGAACTGCAGGAAATCCATCTTGTAGCTAATCTCACTCACTGAAAGTAATGGTGGACATTGGAGCGATTTCGTTGGCTTTCCTAATGAATGGACCAGTGAAGCTAACGCGTGTCTAGTGGGGACAGGTATCTGCCTCAGTACAATGGAAGATGGTCACACAATTTAGCGGATTGGTTAAAGTTAGACACTAACACCGTTGGTCTAGAGATTAAGCGTTCGCGCGCATGACTGAAGGCCCTGAGTTGGAATCCCACGAGCGAAATCATGGATGCGCACTGCTGAGGAGTTCAGCAATTGGACGAAACGGTCGCCCAGTTCGTCCAGGTTTTCAATGTTGGTCTAACATCAATCGATTCAAGATCTCAATCAAGAAATAAACCAGCTTCTTTCTTTTTTTTCTTATTTGCTTACAGTTGAATAGTGTTTTCTTTTACATTCTGTAATTTTCTTTTAGGGTTATCCAGCTCCATTAATTGAATCAAAACTTCAAACATCTTTATTGAATGATGAATCGGAATTACCAAGATTTTATTGTCGTGCATGTCCAACTGGTTGTTTGAATTGTAAATCTAATAAATTATGTCGTGTACAACTAGACTATAATTTACTCAGAGCAGTTCCATTAGCTTTTCAAACTTTTTGTATTACAATATGTTTGTTGTTTGGGATAGCTATGTTTAAATTACGTAGAGCCCGAGTAAGTTATTTATCATTTTCTATTTATCTATTCGATCTCTTTTGATCTGTTTTCATTGAGAAATCATAACAATGGAATAGGTAAAGTGAGTAAACTAACAGGCGTTTCGTTTAATGTATCTGTATGATTTATTGCATAGCTATATGCATAGCTATTTGACTTTAGACAGTGAATTTGTTAGTGGACTGGAAACTTTCAACAATTTTTATTTCGTTTCACTAGTTGAGATCAAGAGTCAATTGATGCTAGACCACTATGGAAAATCTGGAAGCACTAGACGGCCGTTTCGTCCTATTGTGGGACTCCTCAACAGTGCACATCCATAATTCCACTCGCGGGATTCGAATTCATGGCCTTCAGTCTCGCGCGCGAACGCTTAACCTCTAGACCACTGAGCCGGCTGTCATCCAATGGTGTTAATATCTAACTTGTACATTCATCTTAGAAATTTCCAGTTTAATTACTCTACATCAGTCCACTTTTGTTTTCTACTTAGACTTCTGTATTTTGGTGGGAGATAATGCAAGCTAATTATGTAACAGTTATAAATGTGAACGTTTGGTGTTTTTTAATGACTCGTTATTTATTTACTTATTTGAACATACAAATATTGGTACAAAGTGGTACCGAATACATATGCACCACACAAGTTACTTGATATGTGTGTGGGCTGTGGTACACCGTGGGCATCCAGTCCTAGGCAGGTAGGCTCTCTTAGGTAGCCACACACAGAGAGTTCGACATAAAGGTCTGATCTCCAATGCAGTGCAGCAAAGTCAGGAGAAGCAGTCACATGGTAGTCGGTGGCCAACGATTGGTTCATACGCCATTTGTTCCCTCAGGATCCTGGAGTGAATGTGCACCATTGGTTTGGAATCGGGGTTTTCCGACTCCTCTAATTGGACTCTCTGTGTCCACCAACCCTGTGTCAGCGCCGGACATTCGATTTTTGTCCTCTTAATTTCGTAAATAACAGTAGTGCCACGAGAATGCAATGAGTAGGACTTCTCTGGTAGTATTTGTACGCACGTGGCCACTTGAGAGCATTTGTAGAGGGCGAGCGGACCCTCCCGATCCTCAGCCGCACCAGGACATTTAGGGACAATGACTCGTTGATCGAAATGTGTATAGGATCGAATCCATATTTTTGGTCAATCATATCGATTCTCTAAAATATCATCAATTCTTATCTTATTTCGAGATAATGAAAAAAAATGTGGCTCAGAATAATGATTTAACTAAATTTGCATTCAATATTAGCTGTGTAATGTTGTCTAGAAAGGCAATGAACTATTCACAATTAAACCATGCAGCTTAAAGAAATCTAATTCATCTGATTAATCTTATTGTCCTACTGTCGCTTCTTATCAATTTGATCAGTGGGAAAGTGTTTTTTTTATATTCAACACTCAAAACTTAACCAATGGTACTTTAATGAGCGAGAACACAAATAGAGACAATAGAATGTACCTGAATACAAAATCACAGAACATCTTAATAAAATCTGAGAACAGTAAATACTTCATTTGCAAAATGTTCATTAATTGTCTCAGACTTCATTATTCCAGCATTTTCATACCAATTACTTTCTGTCTCCGTTCTTTCCTCCTTGATCTTCTTAAATTTCTGCTGTCAGACATTCTATTCATGACCAGCGTTATATATTACTTATGTCAGTACAAGTAGCACACACACACCACAGCACTGTGAGCCAGTATCCAAGTTAAACAAAGTTTTAACTTACATTTAATCATGACACAAATATTTTTTCATTGTCATTCAATTAAATGGCTTCTTAGTATTCAAACTAATCAGTTTACATGGTTACTAATTTATAAATCTAATAAAATTTTCTAAAAATATTTGGCTATTTATTTATTGATTATTTAATTTCTAGGTAATTAAAAGTGCTAATCTTGTACTTATGGAAATTATGCTTGTAGGCGCGATTCTCTTATATTCAACCGTAAGTTTCATTATTTATGTAATTATGTTATTTTCGCAGATTGAAATCATGAGTCAGTTGAAGCTAGACCACCATGGAAAACCTGGAAGCACTGGACGGCCGTTTCGTCCTAGTATGGGACTCCTCAGCAGTGCGCATCCACGATCCCGCACCACGCGGGGCTCGAACCCAGGACCTACTGGCTTCGCGCGCGAGCACTTAACCATTAGACCACTGAGCCGGCATCCAACGGTGTTAATGTCTAACTTCAACCAATCCACGAAGATGTATCTGCATCTCAGAGTTGATGTTCACTCTGAGGTTTGAACTCAGTGGCTTTCGCTTCAAACGCCATCACGTTATCCACTTAGCTACTGAGTCCTGATAACCACTTGCTTGTGCAATGGGTTGAAGTTTAAATTCACTTGATATTGTTTACTTGAATATTCTCATTAATGTTTAGGATCGCAATTGATCAGTCTCTTATTGGTATATGTGCATACTGTGTATATTTCCTCAATGGCATTTGAAGCGAACGATACTGGGTTCGAGTCCCAGAGTGATCATCAATTCTGGGCTGCAGACACATCCAGCTGACGAGTCCCAAACAGGACGAAACGCGCGTTATGGATTCTACTGCTTATAATGCTTGTGAATTAAAGCAATATCGAGGCAATCTGTAGAGGATGCACATATATTAATAAGAGATTGATCAATTTCAGTCCTAAACATCAATGGGAAGATTCAGGTACACAATACCAAGTGTTTTTATTCATACGGTTGAAAAGGATCTATAGAGACAATCACGCAAAGTCTTCTTATATTTTTGAAATGACTTGCGATAATGAACAGACTATACTTATTATTTATTATGGTTAATATGAGGACGAAAGTATTATTCATATAATGTTAGAAATGTATCCTTATAGATTTTGATAAAGTAACACTTGTCGAATTACATAATATATTTGAGATTTTCAAAGGGCGATGTCAGTCAGTCAACAACGTAGAACCTCATACGTACGTACATACGTACATCATTTCAAGTTACCATTACCACATTAGCACACAGATACAATTGTCGACTCAAATACCATACTGGTAGAGTTAGTAAAACAAAGGGCGATGTAGTTAACTGTGTTTCATAAACATTTAGTGTCACAACAATATTCAACCTACAATGATAAGAATAGAATATCTAGTGTCTTATTTTGGGTCTTCACAATTTACAGTATAAAATGCTGGAGCTATATACTCTTCCACTGGCTTTCAATAGTTCCAAATTGATTGTGAATAATAAACAACCAGATATGAATGATTTGATTTTGGTTTTTGAAAGATGATCACTTTTAGATACAAGAGATAGATACAACATATGGTTGTTATGATTGAAATGACCGTTCAATATACGGAAATCTAATGAAAGATCACTTTCGTTTATGATAAAACAATGAAAAAGGATTTCGAATTTTCAGTCTTTCTTCATAGAAGAAATCGTTCTACTATTTTAGTTCTCACCTCTTTAATTCATTGTAACATATCTGCTTCATATTTAAAACATAATCTAGCTGGTTGAATGCGTTGTTCCAAATTTGACCTGTCATGTATTAAGTTTCAAATTCAGAAACTGTTCTTATCAAAGCTCTGGAAGACTCTATTATTTTTAACTTCAAGAATTATAGATCTTTACTCGCTACTGCTTTGAAATCAATTATGGTTCTGAGGTCAGAACTTACAGTGAATTCCAGACGTATTTAATCATTAACCTTTGAGGAAGATATTTTATCAGTTATGTAATCCTGCTAATCACTATGGTAATGACCGAAGGGAATTATCTTGCTCTGGAGGAACCTAATATAACCTGATAACATATTATCATATAGAAAACTAATCTAACTAAACCTTTATTCTTATTAACTATAAAAAAGTTCTAACTCTCATATGATTATTTTTTCTTTCTTTGACAGATTGTTGTAATGTATTTTCCTGTCAGTGATATCACATGCCTTATTCTTCCATGGTTTCGTGAAGTTGGCTTTTCAGTTATGTATGGTGTATTAATCGTAAAAATCTATAGGTATGTTAAAGAGAACCTACTTTTGAACCTTATTTTATTCCGTAACTAGTAACTAAGCTGGTAATATACACAACAGCTGATTACAATCCAGAAACAACACATATTATTTGAATAGTTGAGATCATAAGTCAATTGATGCTAGACCACTATGCAAAAACCTGGCCGTTTCGTCCTAATGTGCGACTCTTCGTGAAATTCAAACCTAGGATCTATCGGCCCCACGTACGAACGCTTAACGACTAGACCACTGAGCTGGCTGTCATCCAACGGTGTTAATGTGTAACTTCAATCAATCCATGACATTGCATAACCATCCATCATTGTCTTCAGTGAGTTACTATCTCACAACGAATCCAGTTGAAGTCCATTAGTCACTGTTTCTCACTAGAACTCCAGAAAATCTTTCTTGAAGCCAGTCACTAGTGAGCACATGTTGATTATTATCAGAAGGGGTTTTTGTAGATATTATAGTTATTTCAATAGTTGAGATCATGAGTCAATTATTTGTTCAAAAATTAACATGTATATATTATTTCGAATCATGATTGATTTTGATACTGGCACGTAGATATAAATTAATAAGAAAAAAAACGAGATCATACTGATGATGAACTCTTCAATGAGCATATACCAATTTAACTGCTCCTGCGGAGCTATTTACGCCAACTCTAGTCAAAGGGATTAATCTATGCTAGTTCGTGAACATGTACCAGTATTGTTAGGAAGGATATTCACGATATCTATTGACAGTGCCATCCTTTCTCAATTGGTAGGTAGAGAACATCACAATAAAATTGATTGTCTCCTCGGTTTTATGTTGAGTTCAAAACAAGCGAAATTTCAACTCCACTAGATAGCGGAAGCTATGGGGGTTGACTTTAGGCTTCCTGACTTGTATATTAATGGTTGTAAGTAGCTGATAAGTACCCACGAAATAAAAATGAATCCCTCTTATTTTGAATCACTTGTTGTCCTTGCTTCATTCAGATGTGAAGAAATTAGAAATGATCATTTGTACAGTTGTTTATTCATAGATTGACGTTATGAATATCCTAGAATGTACTACTGAAAAGCGTGGAGTTGTAGGTTTCTAGAGATGGAAGATTAACCAAACAGATTAAGTACAAGAAAAAATATCGCGTAAATTAGTACAAATCAGACAATAAACAAGAAAGAGCTATGCACTTATGAGTAAGAGTATTGTAAATAATGTGACGTAAATAGTTGTTAAGATTGAAGTTACCGTCTGAAAGCAAGTTTAAACACCGTGTGTTTTAGAATGCACACATATGTCTGAAAGTCTTTTTATCGCCATGGCTTCTGAAAAGTATGATAACTTCAAAGTCGTTTACTTATTGACATCGCGATCATATCCATTATCCCGTAAATGATGACCAATCACACCACTGAAAAAATGCCCAAGATGTAGTCTCAACTTTAGTAGAATATACCGTCTACCAAGTAGAAGTCTATGTTTTTGATTGAGATCATGAACTGATTGATGTTAGACCGACAATGAAAACCTGGAAGCGCCGGACGGCCGTTTCGTCCAATTGTGAGACTCCTCAACAGTGCGTATCCACGATCTCGCTCGCGGGATTCTAACTCAGGGCATTCAGTTACGCGCTCGAACGCTTAATCTCTAGATCAATGATTCGGCATCCAACGGTGTTAGTGTCTAACTTCAACCAACCAGCTAAATTGCGTGACCATCTTCCATTTTACTGAGGTAGATACCTGTCTCTACCCGACACAGATTAGCATAGAATCTCACAATCGGGATCGTGGATGCGCACTGCCATTGAGGAATCCCACAATAGGACGAAATGACCATCCAGCGCTTCTAGGTTTTCAGTGGTGGTCTATCATCAATTGGTTCATGATCTCAATCAAAAATTTAATAATCTCCACAACCCTATACTGATAATACAAGTTTATATATCAAGCTTTTAAATACAGATTTTTAAAAATCTAGATTGAAGAAAATGAGACGGGGTTCGAACATACAACTTGCCGTTTAAAAGTAGACTATTTTATTCATAAAATTATCAATAGTGACCGTAATCAAATCTACAATTGATGTTCTGATCATATTTTTCCTTTCATTTCAATTTTTTTAAATTCAATTCTCAAGGGTTCTATCTGGTTTTCAATCACGTAAAGCTCATCGGGTTCATGTACGTGATAAAGATATATTAAAGTATTTAGGATTGTTTATCATATTAACATTCACTTATATGATTGCATGGACAGCAATTAATTTAGATTATATTAGTAATCGTTCATGGATTCAAGATGATCATTCAATAATCAATAATAATCGTCAATTGAATAGACCAATTATTAGTATGAAACAAGAAGGTTATATTAAAATTAAAAAAATCAATAATCATAGTTATTTGGATCATCATAATAATAATGTAACTAATAATATTCAACAAAATAAATTCTTCAATGATTCAGGAGAGGAAATGATCACTTTTGAAGTTTGTCGTGCAATGTCATGGGATGTTGTAGTTGAATTAGGTAAGTTCTTATCGATGTTTTTTTCTTGTATATGATTATGTCAATGTTATAACTAGTGGCTTTGTGCCCATACTTACTCTTGTTACTTCCAATGGAGTATAGGCCACTGACCAGCATTCTCCAACCCACTCTGTCCTGGGCGTGCTTTTCTAGTTCCATCCAATTCTTGTTCATTTTAGTTATGTCTATCTCCATTTTCCGGCGTAATTTGTTCTTTGGTCTTCCACTTTTCCTCTTTTGACCTTGAGGATTTCATGTGAGGGCTTGTCTTGTGACGCATTTGTGTGCTTTCCTCAATGTGTGTCCTATCCACTTTGTGCCCTATTCATATAGAAAGTAATGATACCGTCAATTAGAGAACAATGACATATAAACCCGTACGATCTGTCTAGAGTCTTTATCAATACTTCTTCCTGCTGAACCCTGATTATTGAGTCCAGAACATCAATCTCAGCCTCTGTAATATGAACTATGTATTTCAAACATACTGGGTTTATATACAAACCAAACAGATCACATCACACTATAAAATAGCTAATAACATTTGTACAAGATCTAGCCCAAAGTGGCTGTAAATATGAGAGACTGTAATTAATAGACTAGGTATAACTCAAGAACGTTAGATCGTATACTATCTTATTGGTTTCCTATGTTCCATTTTGTGTAGTTTAACCTTTAATTTTCTTATATAAATATCGTATAACGTAAATCTATGATTGGATTGTTGTATGACATATATCATATTAATGTGTCGAGATTTGTCAAAAACGTCTTAGGAAAATCTTCAGAAACGGGAAGAAGGATGAAAAGACTTAGTCTAATTCTCATTCAATAGAATCTTCCAAGGGAGTTCTGGAAAAATAATCAATTACGTGTTATATCTTTGTGACAAACTATGGATTTCTGTACTAATTGCGGCAAAGTTGTAGAACCTTTTAAGATAAAAAATGTTATCAACAAGCGTATAAATATCCTTGTTTACAGTATCCAAACTAATCTCACGGGCATATCTATTTTTTATACAGAGTACTAGGTAAAGATGGCAAATCAATTGATGAAGTAATGAAACTTCATTAGTTGAGATGACTGGGACATGTGTTTCGTATGACCAACCACAGACTGCCACAACGTGCGATGTTTTGTGGTGTAGGAGTAGGTTGGAAGACCAAAACATTGGCACAAATCCATAAAGTCACTGACACGTGAACTGAGTGATCCATGTTGGTAGGTGTAGACTACCTGGTTGGAATCAGCTAGATGATAGCAACCGATGGTTATAGACCTTGAATGACATGGCTCAAAATAGTTGGCAGTGGAGCAGGTGCATCCACTCTTTGTGTTCTCCCAAATTCTAATCTTCTGAATTCTTCATGTCCCTTTCTTTTTTCTCTTTCCAAATGTATTTCACTGGATTATACTCTTTGAATAACATGTTCGAACCCTAGTGTTTTCGATGACTACTTATGCTTTTACTACTTCTATCACTGTGGTATTTGAATCGACAATTGTATCAGTGTGCTAATGTGGTATGGCAACTTGAACTGATGTACATACATACGTTACAGACTGACTGACTTTTTTCATACATCCTACCTTTTATCTTCTATTTGGGGTTTAATTATAGGAGAATGTTTAGGATTAGAAGAAGCTTCGAACGTCAGTAATGAGTGTTCAAGCATCAAATATACCAAAATATTATATGTGAAAATTATATTTGAAATAATCTCAGCTATTGAAATTTAAATAATTCCAACGTTTCGTCCAGCTAACTTGTCTGGACTTCTTCATGGTTGAATAATCAAAATCAAAATCACCGAAGAACTATATAGCTCTTAACAATCATAACTATACTGTGTTATACCACTCAAAATTGGATGTTGGAAATGTTCAATTTAGTATCGTTTTGTTAAATAGTTCAAAAATTACTTGGTGTTGTTTACTTGTATCTTCACATTATTAATAAGGACTGCAATTTATCAGTCTCTTATTGGTATATGTGCATACTGTGCGAACTGCCTCGATATTGCCTTGGGCCACGAACTTTATAAGCAAAGATGGATAGTGGCTAGTAGTGAAATCCAGGACGCTCGTTTCCGTCCTATTTGGAACTCATCTCAAGCTAGTGGCTATCGGGACTCAGTAGCTAAGTGGTAGAGTGGTGGCATTTGAAGAGAACAGTACAGGGTTTGAGTCTTAAAGTGAACATCAACTCTAAGATCCAGATACATCCAGCTGATGAGTCCGAAGTAGGACAAAAAGCACGTTCTAGATGCCAGTACCATCTACTAGCCATTTTTGCTTAGTTCAGAAATCAGTTTCTATGAGGCGAAGTTTATTTACCATTATGAGAATGGAATCATAAAAAATACCCTGGTTAAATGTGAAGTAAACACGAAAAGTCTTCTCTTTTGAACATTATTGATCGAAACTTCTTTTTATCTACAGTTTACTTGAAACGCACTAAAGAAAGCAGTTTAAAATGCCATACTTATCTACATTTTTTCTAGCTGAATTCATTATCTTAGCTATCAGTATACATTATTGTCGTCTTGTACGAACAGCACCATCTGAATACAATGAAACACAGTATATTGGTGTGGCTTTAATTATTGAAATGACAGTATCTGGATTTCTATATTTATTAAGGCAAGTGAACTTTATTTTGCTAATTATAATTGTACTACTATATTCTAAATAATTAGCATACATGTTTTGAGATAAAGTTTTGTACCCTGATTTGGATGATTTGGTCGTTGGACTCATTGTTTTTCTGAACAATATCATTAGCACAAAACTCAGGTAGAAGTGAATTGTCTGAATTTCTCCACACATGGCTCACATCTTATTCTGTAGATCTCGATCTTGATTAGCTATTGTTGATCCCCAACCTGTAATTGTCTACTTCTTTATTTTGCTTGTATCTCCCGTTGATTTGATGCTTGATCCTATATTTTTCCATGTTTTTACTGATTAGTTGGTCTTAAATATAGGGAATACTATAATCCCCAGGGAATTTTTATAAGCTTGACACTCAAGTCAATCAGCAATCAACAAACATATTGAAATATATCCAATCTAATAACTAATCAGAAAAATCATGGACAAATATAGGACTAAGAATCAAATCAGTGAAAGATACAATCAAAATAAAGTAGTAGACAACGACAGGTTAAAGGTCAATAATAGCCAACCAAGGTCGAGGTCTGCAGGGCAATGTGTGAGCCATATGTGGAGAAATTCAAACAGTTCACTTCTACCTGAATTTTGTGCTGATGATATTGTTTAGAAGAACAATGAGAGTTCCATGACCAAACCATATAACTGAGAGAACAAAACTCCATCAAAAAAAGTATAGTGAATCTAATGTGCATTCCAATCCCTCAAGAGTTCCTCGATATGATCTTCAGAAACTAGGAAAAAGCTGAAGTATGGGAAAATTCTAGGGATTTAGGTGGAGACTAGAAAGTCAGTATGAAGTATTTGATTAGTGAACCCATCAAGCTTAAATTTAATGTTTTGTAAGTTAAAAAATTCATCGATTTGGATTATTTCTCAGGGTTTCTTATAATTAACTACAACTTTGGTTTTATATGAAATGACTCAAGATTATACCACCACCACCACCACAAAATCTCTCCATAGAGACACGAACTCATTTTTCGAATATCGCATAAACTACACAAATTTAGGTCGGTGACTTGTATTTTGTTATATGTGACGGATATCAGCGATATCTTAATCTTTCATGTAGACGAGTAAAAAACGTCATCAGTTTTCACCCATCTATTTTCGCAACCTGATTTCATGTTTCTTCCATTCTAAACGTGTATTTCTAACCATTACTTATATTGATTGATCACTGGGTAGTGATGATTATAATGTTTGTCCGGTCTTCTATTACTCGATTAAGTTGCAATGTAGCCACTGATTCAAGTGACCCGATATCGTATGGATTATGTTTACTGTTAGATGGTTGAAACTAGTCATTGATAAATTATCAACTTGGGTTTTTAATTAGCTGGAACTCGTCAGGTTTCCTGTTGATCAATTACATCTGTTTCACATGAAGATTTCAATTAATCAATCGGCCTTTTTCTTCATTTAATTCAATAGTTGGTTGAGATTATCGAACTGAAATCATCACAGGATGAAAATTTTCCGAAACGTATAATATTTAATAAAGATTTTAAATAGTTGTGTGAGATAAAATGTCGAATTTGCATTTCCGTTCTTTATCATAGTAACAATTTCTTGAAGGTAGATGATGGCAAGAAATTTTCAAATCTTGTACAGTGACTCTGTTTAACTTACCATGTGAAGTGTCGAGTTTAGTCTAATATGCAATACGTTTTTTGTTATTCGGCATTTTATGCTCATCAGTAGTAGTCAGTCGATGTTGTTGAGAAAAATGTGAAAAGGTATACTGAACCACAACAATAAAACAAGAAACAATGTGATCTTCTGAAAGATAAATGATATTGAACTACTGAGGAGTCCCACAACAGGACGAAACAGGCCAAATATCTGTCCAAAATCATATTCATAGTAATATTAAAAGATTCATCATTTGGTCTATCGATTGCTTTCAATTCTCTATGCAATATACGACGAAATTTTCCCTTAAAGGTTCATGAAAAAAAGATGAAATAGTCATATAATAAGGAGTAATATATGGGGATTTATAAATCATAGAAAACGAGTATAAAAGAAAACGCCAAAAACATATAGTTTTTGTATGTAAAAAGTCAGACTAAAGATTCCAGAGATAATAACAAAACATTGTAAGACTAGTAGAAATTTATTGATTCAATGAGCTGAAAGTGAAGCATATGCCACAAAGTCTAAAGATTATGAGTATAATCTGTGATGAAGTCTTGAGTATACACTTTTAGTATCTTTTGATTCTCAACGGTTGTCTGTGATTTAAACTATACCCGACCGTAGCTGCTACCTTGACGTGGTGGTTGGGCTTGCCTACCGTGATAAACCAATCGAGCTATAATGGTCGGAATAATCGTTCTTCAAGGTCCTATCATGTCATACAGGTTGTTTGTAGAGCGGTAACACAAAAGCAGAAAATCAAGGGTCCGATAGCGAAGTCCTACTACTGTTGTCTATACAGAGGTGTGACGGCAGTAAGGTGTTTTGTTGAGACAACCAGCCTTCCCACAAGGACGTGTGGGGTCAGCAAAGGTCGACCCTAAAAATGCACACCTCACCTCAACCCACAGATTTCTGTCTCCGGCGGTAAGGTCTCAATAAGTACGGAGCTAACAAGAAAATTGTTCACACAAAGGTCGTGTATGATCGGCGTGAAGCTGTTGTCCCTTGGACACTGAGGTCACGCTCTCAGGTCACTAAGACCACCCTTAACTCAATTTTCTTTTCAGGTACTTCCAGTAAAACTCTTCCACGATGTGGACAATCGGGAAGTGATAGCCGTGCTCATTCCTCTAACAGCACTGATGTAAACTATAAATTATTCATTAATTATTAAATCTAATTAGAAAATTTTATTATATTAGTCATCTTTTTGTTTATTTACGTTTATATTGTAGACATTTCATATGGTACAGTGTTCATCCTGATTATATATTTCTGTTATATTTTGCCCGATCTCACATAACTGTAACAGTGAATCTTTTATTGATTTTTGTACCAAAGGTATGTTATTCCTTAAATTTTATTTCGATTAAATAATATCTGATAGAAAGGTTTTTTATTGAATTAATTTTTAACTTTTAGATTGAAATCATTAGTCAATTGAAGCTAGACCACCATGGAAAACCTGGAAGCACTAAACTGCCGTTTCTCCGTGATCAGTGGAGCTAATCCGTGCCGGGTAGAAACAGGTGTCCACCTCAGTACAATGAAAGGTGGTCGCGCAATTTCGTGGATTGGTTGAAGTTAGACATTAACATCATTGGGTGACAGCTCAGTGGTCTAGTTGGTTAAACGCCTGGCGCGAGACTGATAGGTCCTGGGTTCGAATCTCGCGGTGGGCGGGATCGTGGATGTGCACTGCTGAGGAGTTCCATACTAGAACGGAACAGCCGTCCAGTGCTCTCAGGTTTTCCATGGTGGTCTAGCTTCAATCGACTCATGATTTCAATCAAAAACTTAGCAATCTCCATAACATCTAAACTGGTAATTTTTAATTGTTTTACATGCAATCTAACTCCATACTTACTTACTTACTTATGCCTGTTACACATTTTGGAAAAGTATAGACCGCCTGCCAGTATTCTCCACCGAACTCTGTCCTGAACAATCTTTTTCAGTTGCTATTCATCATTTTCATGTCTGTTTCCAATTCTTGACGTAATGTGTTCTTTGAATTTCCTCTTTTCCGTTTCAATTCAGGATTCTAAGTTAGTGCTTGCCTAATGATACAGTTTGACGATTTCATCAATGTGTATCCTATCTAATTCCAGTATCTTTTGATAATTTACTCTTCAGATGGAAGTTGATTTGTTGGTGAGACTAGAATTTATGGACAAGCCAATCAGATTCACCATAACATGTCTTTGATTTTGGCGCAAAATTCACTCATCCATTTGTCTAAATAGCGGTTTTGGCATTATAGTTGATATCGATTCGTGATGAAAACCCTGAATCTAATTCCTAACCTTAATCATCAACTGTAAATCATAATTCTAATTCCTCATACTAGTTTATAACCCTCATTTGGTCCTAGTCATCAGGTCGACACTCTCAAGATCATTGTAGTGTCGCTCAAATATCGTCTATAAATTATAGTCTCACCAGGTCAATCATTTGAAAGAAATATATAGATGCTTTTATCTTGTTGACAGAAGATTCTTGATTACTGTTGAAGATTACAAAGTGTTGTAGTGAAAGATTAGAATTTGTATCAACATAAGAGACTTGTAAAGATCATTCAGTGTTAGGTTCATATCATGGGTTGATTTATGTAGCAAACCATTGGGAAATAAAACGGGCTAATTACTTAAATCACCAGTAATACTCACTTACATATCTGTTTAAGAGATATTACCAGTGGCAATGAATAATAATTACTCAATATCACGAATTAACTGGATATCAGATTAAAGCCTAGTTTAATTGCGAATGTATGTTTTCATTGATAAGTCCAGCAAAGATGATTATGTCACAATATATGAAAGTGTTTGGTTCTTTCGTGAAAACTTCCAAGGATGATCGGGTAATGGGAAAAACTCTTCAGTAGTGATATTAGGTTGCTAAAGTAGATTGCCTTATTTTCTAAAGCTCTTAACTATAGAATCCCCTCCCATCTTTTGTTATTCGATTAGTATTCGTAATTTTTGCTAAAGTAAACTGTCATTCAAAGCTGTTTTGCTAAGATATGTCTTAGTCATGTTATCGTACATTAATTTCTCATATCTTTTTTTGATCTCAATTAATTTCATACAAATTTAGGTAACCTTTTTATGTCGTTCATCAAAATCATTATGTAATACTACTCGTCCACGTGGTTCACCTGGAGCTCCTTATCCTGGTGATCCACATTTACCTAGTGGTGGAAAATTGAATTTAGTATCAAATGGTGATCTAGATATTGCTGATGTGAACTTAGCTGATATGGATCCTGAAGTAATAAGGGTTAGTTGAATTTTATTTGAATGAAAAGTGATTCCTATTTTGTTATACTGAAGAAGTTATACTTACGAAGATCATTTATAAGGTGAAGTTTTATATGAACTAACAAACTGTTTTTATAACATTCCTAATCAAATTCTACATAATAAGTTACAAAGCAATCGACAGTTTAACCAACTTGACAATATATATACATATATATTCTATGCTAAATGAATATAGTACAGTGGTCGGTATTCAATATAATCCTTAAGCTTTGTATATAGTTCGTCCTGATAAACTTCACTAGAGAACGCCCCAACGGTGTATAAGTCGGAAGACGAATACGAAGTGTTGATTAAGTTTATTGTTGCACCATGCACAGATAAACAAAATTATAGGTAAGCTAAGCAAGCATGAAAGACTAGTGCCGAAAAGCAAGCAAGCGAGCGAGTGAGCGTACGAGTCAAATGAATAGGATTAAAATGTACATATACATACATAGGGAAATGAGTGAATCATTGAATCAATTAAGCGACTAATACTAAAGCTAGCAGAATGAGTCTGCTCATTTGAACCGATAAACGTGCCACATTCTGTGTCGTTTGTGTTTGACTGAATAATGAGACTAAAAGCTCATAAGTGGGATCCGTGATTGGAAGTGTGCACTGGGAAGAAAATGTTAATTTCTAATGATTCTATAGCTGACGAAAGTTTTTTCAATCTGAATTCAATTTGAATTCATGATTCGATCTAAGCTAGATTACCGTTGAAAACCTGGAAGCATTGAACGGCCACCTGGCCTCAGAATTGAACTCATAATTTCACATGTGGAACTGGGACTTAGGACTATGTATCTCGCACGTGAACGCTTGACCCTTCGTCCACTGAGACGGCCATCTACTGCTTTCAGGTTTTCAATGGTGGTCTAACTTAGATCAACTCGTGAATTAAACTGTTAAAATACTACAATCTCCACAAATCTCCATACCAAAGAAGCAAAATTTGTTTAGGAAAATAAGGACGTTCATATGTTGAGAATATAGGGAATTGATTGTATTTCATTGTTATTCACTTTTCAACTACACCAAAGTTGAAATTTATAACAATTAAATTTTTATAAATGAACGGTGCAATTGCCTAGAACATGAACTGTAATAAATCACCATTGTTTAGTTTTGGAATTAAACAATAACACTGATAGATGCCGGTTGGTTCAATGGTCTAGAGGTTAAACGTTCACTCACGAGACTGATAGGTCCTGAGTTCGAAACTGTCGAGGCAGGATCGTGGATGTGTACTGCTGAAAAGTCCCATACTATTACGAAACGGCCATTCAGTGCTTCCAGTTTTTCCATGGTGGTCCAGCTTCAATTGACTCATGAATTCAATTATTAAAATTACTATAATATCCACAAAACCTCTTTGTGTTTAGTTCAATGGTAATAGTTTTTCACATACATGCAAGTATTTATGTATTTCAAAACCATGAATGTAAAAACGATGAACTTATAAACCATTTTATAAAGTTCACTTGGTATTGTTTTACTTGAATCTTCCCATTGATGTTTTAGGGCTGAAATTGATCAGTCTCTTATTGGCATTTGTGCGTACTGTGCGTAATGCCTCGATATTGCCTTAAGTCACAAACTTTATAAGCAAAGATGGATAGTGGCTAGCAGTGGAATCCAGGACGTGAGTTTTCGTCCTATTTTGGGACTCGTCAGCTGGATGTACTTGCATCTCATAGTTGACGTTCACTCTAGGGTGCAGGTACATCCACCTGAAGAGTCCCAAATAGGACGAAACGCGCGTCCTGGATTCCACTATCTCTCTCAAATTGATTGATGTGAATTTAAATTTGACAACGTATGACTGAAGGTTGAATCTCTAACGAACTCATTTACACCTGTTAATGGCCCGGGATCTATTAATGGTTGTTGTCGATATAAATATATCGTCAATCCTCGTATATAGTACTCGACTTAGATCGCGTTAGTGAATAACGGAATTAAATAAGTCAAATATGAGAAAGGGTGTTTGAATACATATATTTTGTACACTCACTGATCTGGTCACGCCATCAAAGAAACAAAGCGAAGAGAAGAGAACGAAGCGAAATGACGCTCGGTGGAGAAGGCGTGTGAGCCAACTCCATTTAACCAAGCGTTAATCTATATTTATAGCTGAACAAAAATACGTTACAAATATGTGATGAATGAGGTAAGAAGTGCACATACATACGCTTACATAAAAACAGTCATGGTTGATAGGTGAATAATTACACAAAGTCAAAACGTGACTCGAGAAGAATGGATAAATTGGCCTGTCCAGAAGCTAGAATAAGTTTATTGAGCTTAACATAGCAACTGACACTACAAATCGCTTGCATATACTTATTCGCCTCTCCGCTTTAAATTCACTCGATGTGTTTATAGCTTTATGTTCTGCACTATCAGTTAATAAACTATAGTTGTTACTTCTCTTTGTCTTCTGATTTCAAACACCGTTGAGATTTATATTATAACGATTATCGAGGTGATCAATTATCGAAGCAAAATCACTACAACCTTCCTGTGTCAACTGAAATAACGTTGAACTATTCAAAATCATTATGTAAATGTAGTTAATGTTGAAAACTAGCCAACTTAATTCACAGTTCACCGACAGAGGTAACTTGAACATTTACAACGAACAATATATATCGTATTCCTTGGATAAGTAGTAGCCTATGTGACACTCAGTGGCTTTTCCAAATTTATGGGTTACCATTTTTCTGAAGTTGTGTTTAATGCCTTAAATTTCTTTGCTTATATCAATTATCTCTACTATCCTTTCATACTAACTCACTCTAATATGGTGTTTTGCAACATGTTTAGAATATCATCATTGAAAAGCTCAGAAAGTACCATCATGAAAGGCCGTAGATTTTCTTTCTCCTTTGTTCTTTGAAGAAATGAGAAGTAGTCGTTATAGAACTGATACTTCAGGTATATTTGACTTTGGGAAAGAATTTTCTGAGGCAAAAAAATGGTTAGAAATAATAACAGATGAACATTCATAACAGTGGTGGTCGTAACTTTAAAATGGTTTATATATGATTTTCGAATGTTCCCTAATTGAATGATTGTGGGATGTGGATTTTTGTGGCAGTTTTGTAGATCTTTTTAATGATAAATCGTCACTGTAATCAAGCATACAGTACTGAGTAAAAGAAGAAGAATCATTTTTTTAACAGCTCACTAACTTTTGAAATTCATATTCACTTTTAATCTCCATGGGAACATCAATCTATGGTGTGTTCATTTAAGAAGTCTGTAACAGTATATAACCAGATGATACTGTGAATAACAATGAAAACTCCACAACTCAAACATTCAACTCAGAGAATAAAGCTTCATCAAAAACTGAAAATAACTCCATACTTACTTACTTACTTACTTACGTCTGTTACTCCTAATGGAGCATAGACAGCCGACCAGCATTCTTCAACTCACTCTGTCCTGGGCCTTCCTTTCTAGTTCCATCCAATTCTTGTTCATTTTTCTCATGTCTATCTCCATTTCTCGGCGTAATGTGTTCTTTGGTCTTCCTCTTTTCCTTTGACCTTCAGGATTCCAAGTGAGGGCTTGTCTTGTGACGCAGTTCGGTGCTTTCCTCAATGTGTGTCCTATCCACTTCCAGCGCATCTTACTGATTTCTTCCTCCTCTGGGATCTGGTTTGTTCTCTCCCACAGTACGTTGTTGCTAATAGTGTCCGGCCAATGGATCTGAAGTATTTTGCGTAGACAATTGTTAATAAACACCTGTATTTTCCGGATGATGGCTTTTGTAGTTCTCCAGGTTTCTGCCCCATACAGTAGAACTGTCTTGACATTTGTATTGAAAATCCTGACCTTGTTGTTGGTTGACAGTTGTTTTGAGTTTCAGATGTTCTTCAGTTGTAAATATACTGCTCTCGCTTTACTGATCCGCGCTTTCACATCTGCATCAGATCCACCCTGTTCTTCAATGATGCTGCCCAAATAAGTAAAGATTTTTACGTCTTCCAAATCTTCTCCGTCAATTGTGACTGGATTGGTGCATGCTGTGTTGTATCAGAGAATCTTGCTTTTTCGCTTTTCTCTTTTTTGATGGAAAACAACAAACTCCATACTGTACAACTAATTGCTCACTGAATGGTGATCAATGTCATGTATGTCAGATCCTTCTTAGTGCAGGTCCAATCCTATCGACTAAGTTGTAATGTGGCCAATAGTCTAGATGTCTCGAAATTGTGTACACTATGTCGAAATAAGATGGCAGTTGAAGGTAGTCATCAGGAAATCCTGTCCATACTATTTTGAAATTAGATAAAGTCGAAATTCTGTATTATTCTGAACATCTTCTGATACTTCATTACATTACATAAATTGGCTTAGTGATTCCTTTTCTTTTCTTTTCTTTTTTTGTTTTAGCGTGAACTAAAACGTCTTTATACACAAATTGAATTGTATAAAACCAAAGCAATGCGAAAAGATAATCCACATATAAGTAAACGTAGAGGGGGACGAAAACAACGTCGGTAGGTTTTTTCTCTGAAAAGAAAACATTAACTATTTTCGATGAGACTATAATTTATGGATGACCTCTCAGTGACGCTAGATTGACCTTGAGAGTTTCTACCTGATAACTATGACCAAATGAAGGTTAGAAACTAATATGAGGAATTAGAATTATGATTTACAGTTGATGATTAAGGTTAGGAGTTAGATTTATGGTTTTAATCATGAACTGGTATCACTTATAGTGCCAAGACTCCATTTAGGTTTTCGATGAAGCATGAACCTTCTTGTTTCCTTGATAATGACCTTTTCTGAGTGATATGTCTTGTTAATGACTGATTTAAGCCTTTGTTTCAATAAAAGGCTATTTGAATCACCTGTAAATGGTAAGGTGATGTAAACAGTCTTTTTCTCTACCAAAGCTATAATTGATCTCACTGTACCATAAGTTAATAATCTATTTATAAATTTAAGAGGATAGCGATTTTCCATTAATGTTTTCTTATAACAACGTAACATCATTATCAATAGCGGCATTTGTGCAAATACGATCAAGCCTGTAAATAAGCATCTTATGAGACACTGTTTGTATTGCACAGGGTGATAACTATAATAACTAATGTATTGACCTGTCTATATTGGTTCACTAAAAGTGGATCGTTTGATTAATCTATCTACTTGTCTACTTAAAACCATATCTAGGAATGGAAGCTGGTCGTTGTTCACCTCTTCCCATAAGAGAGTAATGAGGTTATGGAGAGTGTTAAGTTTATCCAATAAACAATTCATATCCTCGTTCCTTTCACAGACAACTAAGATATCGTCCACATATCTCTTATTTTTATGTTTAAATGTTCTTAACAAGTACATAATGTGTGATCAGATTGTTCGAAATGTATTGCGTTAATGCTATCATCACATAGTTCTGGTAATTTTCGTCTTCTTATTACACTATGGAAATTATAAGACAACATTAAATTAAGAGGAAATGGGGATAGTATGGTTAAGAATAATCCATATTTTTTTTATATATATAATCAGATTAAATTTCTCCCAGTTACAAGTTCTTGTAACTTGGTTCCGAGTAACGCACTTAATATAAGAGTTAGTTATACTATCCTGATCGAATGAATCGAAATGGTTATGATATTGAAATCTTACACTTCTCGGTTAATGGCTGAACGCTTTAACTAATGATTCATCGTTTAAATCACATTCTGTATTTAAATTCTCTAACATTTAGAATAAATGAAGATTATTTTATATTATCTATCATACTACTTACAATTAATTAACTAGTTTATTTCGATGAATAAAATTTACTTAGCACCTGGTCACTGGGATGTTCATAATCCCATGCTCAACTTGAAACCATTTTAAACAATAGAGTAGTACAATAGGAATAATTGTTGAATATTAAGGAAGTAATGTCAAATGTTTACGCTCAATTTGTGATGTTTTACAATACATAACCACAGCCAACGTATTTTTTTAGCCTTTGTGAATTCATGAAGTGGACACTAATAAGAGGCATTACAAAGATCTTTACAATTTATCAACTTAATGACTACAAATATTTCATCTATCTTTTATTTACACATAAGGATGATTGATAGTTGAGTAGCAGGCAAGCTTTCGATCTCATTTATTCAGAGTCCTACAATGACTTAATCGATTTTCATTTCGGGTGAACAATTGAAAAGTCTATGAACCAGTGTTTGTTACGAATAGATAAAAAAATACATATATACAAGATACTACAGTGACTTTCTAGTGTTATGACTATCATATTGGTAATGAATGATAAATTCCATGTGGGAAATCAATGGCTCATGGCATATGATTAGTCGTAAATAAAAATAATATATTTGTCGGATCAACTGACGCGTAATTAGTATTAGTGAGGCAATCGAAGCAATCCGCGCATGATGCACATATGCCAGTAATAAACTGATCAATTTTAGTCCTAAACATTAATGGCAAGATTCAAATAATCAATATGAAAATGAATTACTTCACCCGATTGAACGAACTAGTGGCTATCATCTAAACTCAGTAGCTAAGTGAATAACGCGATGGCATTTAAAGCGAACAATACTACGTTCGAGTCTCGAAGTGAGCAACAAATTTGGGATACAGGTACATCTATGGTATGTCGTCATAAGTAGTATATAATACCAATCCGAAGAGGAATGCCTGACAGTAGATGGTAGGGAAAATCGAATCAAGGAGAACGGAAACAAAGAGTAATTGTTATGGCAATGAAACAGCGATGAAGTTTGAGACAATTGTTAAGGGATTTGCAAATAAAGTATTGAACGTATGGTTATCAAATTTTACCAAAGAACTCTGTAATTTAGTATTAAAATACAACTGCTTGTCCCCATCTATGTTCTCATTCATAACATATTCAACTGACAAGTCCTAAATAGGACGAGACACACATCTTGAATTCCACTACTAGTCACCATCCATCTATACTTACAAATCTTTTAGTGTAAATACATTATAAATGATTCAAATGAAACTTAATAATATAATGGATAGTGGCTAGCAGTGGAATCCAGGACGCGCAAGTGGCTATCAGGACTCAGTAGCTGAATGGATAACGTGATGGCGTTTGAAGCGAATGGTACTGGGTTCGAGCCCCAGAGCGGATATCAACTCTGAGATGCAGATACATCCAGATGACGTGTCCCAAATAAGACGGAACGCGCGTCCTGGATTCCACTGCTAGCCACTATCCATCATTACTTACAAATAGCTTGTGAATTAAGATAATGTCGAGGCATACGCACAGTATGCACATATGCCAATAACAGACTGATCAATTGCAGTGTTAAACCTCAATGGGAAGATGCAAGCCAAACAATACCAAGTGAACTTAATAATATTTGTTTTTTTTGTTATATTATGTTATTGTTTAGATTCTCACTACAACCATTTCATAAACGACATCATGGACAAACTTCATCTAGTATAAGTGGTAATGTTATGCCAAATGATACAGGATGTTGTTGTACAGAATGTCAATCATCAAAATTTACTATACGATTATGTCCACATTCGTGTAGTCGTCATTTAATTCATAGTAGTAGTAGTAGTAGTACAAGTCATAAACAATCACCAAATGATAATAGTAATAATAATAATGGTGGTAATAGTGGAATAAATCGTTCAAATTATACAACAATATTACATGATGAAGAAATTTCTAAATTATCAGAAGAATCAACAAATAGTGGTATAGATGATCAATTATCGATTAATAATGTAGTATCAATTCAACAACAATCAAAAAATCAATTATCTAGTTCTATTCATTCAAATGATAAACAAATTAACACATTATCAACAATCAATAAAAATGAGAATAAACGTTCCAAATGTAAATCAATTAATGAGAAGACAAGATAAAGTTAGTTCATTTATAATTCTTTGTATGTCTTATTGAATAGCTCTTCATTGATCAGATATGAGACAGTTACTTAATGAAGACAATAGAAGATGATCGTTGATTAACAATTCAATGGTCTAGGAGTTAAATGCCCACTCTCGACATTAATAGATCTTGGGATTTGAGATGGTGGGGAAGATTTGTAGCTCAGATGGATGATTTTGGGGGAGTTTTGTTCTCTGAGCTGGATGGTTTTTCTCGTGGAACTTTCATCGTTCTTCTTCTGAACGACATCATCAGCACAAACTTCAGATAGAAGTGAAGTGTTCGAATTTCTCCATATGTGTTTCACAGCTTGTTCTGTACACCTCAATGTTGACTGGTTCTTATTGACCTTAAATTTGTCATTGTTTACTTCTTTGTTAAGTTAAGAGAAATTCACAGAGGAACTTGTTGGGAATGTTACTTACTTACTTACGCCTGTTACTCCTAATGGAGCATAGGCCGCCGACCAACATTCTCCAACCCACTCTGTCCTGGGCCTTCTTTTCTAGTTCCATCCAATTTTTGTTCATTTTTCTCATGTCTGTCTGTATCCGTTTCCCGGCGTAATGTATTTTTTGGTCTTCCTCTTTTCCTTTGGTAATGTTAGTTCCACAAAAATCACTTGGTAAATGCGTTACATTTGTAATTCTATTTTTAAAAAAAAAGAATTTCTTGTTTTTGCGCCAAAAGAACCCATTTTCATGTCTTATGTCTTATTCCACACTTGGGAGGACCTTAAATGTGATTGGTTCGTTGTCTCTTTAAATAGATTGTTTTGTAACGTTTAACAAGGACATTTTTATGCTGTTTATATACGCTTAAGTTGTGCTTATTGTTGTTGTTGTTGTTGTTCGTGCTTGTGGAATATATTTCCCACTTTTGAACTTGAACATCTTTCTCTAATTAACGGATCTGGATCGTATCGGAATAGTTAGTTGATTTGGTCATTCTGTCACTGAGTATTCATTCCGTTCATAGATTAGGTGAACTCGTAATCTCTTGAAATATAGCAGAACTATATAATATAGAATGATCTTAATCAATACAGAAAGCGTTTATTCTGTTACAAGTAGTGAATAGTGTTTTTTTTCTTCATTGTATATACAGTCTGTTCATTTCTCTACCGTATTTGGATCTAGTTTTTAATTAGTCTCAACAATAAATGTTTACTTCTCATCATGATTAGCGTATTACTTCCTTAGATTATAAGTTAATCTATTCAACCTAGTAGTTCATGATATACAATTAAGGCTATTAACATAAATTATCTTCTCAGTATACTTGTTATTAATAGTACGTTCATTGAGATTGGTATCAACTGTAAAACTAATAGAAAAAAATACCTACGTACTTACTCACGCCTGTTACTCCTAGTTGAAGAGCATTGGCCACCTACCAGCATTCTCCATCCAACCCTATCATGACCAATCCTTTCCAGCTCTTTCCAGTTCTTATTCATCTTTTTCACATCTGCTTCTATTTCCCAACGTAATGTGTTCTTTGGCCTTCCTCTTTACCGCCTTTTTTCACGACTCCAGGTTAACGGTTGCGTCATGATGCAGTTTGATGATTTCCGTAATGTATGTTTTATCCATTTCCATCGTCTTTGCCTGATATCCTCTTCAGCTGGAGGCTGGTTTGTCCTCTCCCACAGTAGTTTGTTGGTGTTAATATACTGTCAATGGATGTTGAGTATCTTGTGTACACAACTATTTTTAAATACTTGTACTTTCTTGACGATAATTATAATGGTTCTCCACGTTTCATCACTGTACAGTAGAATTGTCTTGATGTTCGTATTGAAGATTGTGACTTTGATGTTGATTTGAAGACAGTTGTTTTGAGTTCCATATATTGTTCAATTGTAGGAATGCGGGCGGCTCTTGCTTTTCCAATCCTCACCTTTATGTCTGCATCTGAACCTCCTTGTTCATCGATGATGCTTCAAAAATAAACATAAGATAACGTAAAACTTTGTACTCATACATTTAAAGAAATTAACAGTAAGGATTGATGAACTTGAACAAGATTGAATCTTGAACTTTGTTATCTCATTTAAACAAAATATCATCAGATCATTTAGTGAAAATTTTTATAAAACTATCAGAATTATTATTATTATTACTATGGATACATATTACTGTATAGTCTAATCTTAGAAAGATAGAAATGTTCAGTACATTCTGACTGATTTTAACCAATGGATTAAGATACATTCAAAATGCAAACAATCTTCTATTACATTCTCATGTTAAAGTAAATTATTTATTGATTAAACTTTATGGGAATTTATAAGGATTCCTTAATGTTGTTTAAAATGGTAATGGTTGAAGACTCTGAGTAACATGACTCATAATTGACCACAATGATTTAGGTGTTTTACACACTCTTTGTCCTCTTCTAAACTATGAGATTAAAATTGATTGAAATCTTTCCATGAACTAAGGTTTTCTTCCTGTACTATATTCTTGTATACAATGTTGTTATATTTTTCTCTTACGGTTTATAACCCAGCTATTCCTATAGCTTAGTAATCTTGGACACCGATTCACTCAACAAGTCCCGAAATCAGAACACAGATGAACAGGAATGAGACTATATTCCAAATAATAAGATTAGATGGAAGTAAGAAGCACAATAGGAAGAATGTTAGTATATTTATAGTTTTTACATGAAAAGATTTCTAGAGTATTCTCCAAGTATCGACTAGTGCTGATTGGATAAGAATTAGCCAATCAGCGTGCAGCAAAGCAATGGTGCATTGAGCATGCTTTAATCCAGTCTATATCCCGCTAACAACGGTGTTTTCATATGATTATACTAACGCGGTATGGCAATTTGAAGCAATATATATATATATGCCTGATCTTACATTGTAGCTCACTGATTGAAACTATCTTACTAAGAGAAAACAATGACTGAGAGCATTCATCACAGTGAATAGAACTTTTGAATCATTTGAAACTTCATTAGACAAGTTTATAGTACTTTTTTTGTTTGTTTGTTTGTTTTTCACATAGATTCTACTTTTAATATTCAACCTTTAACCTGTGATGAGAAACATAAGCGAAGAAATTCAGGCAGTTTCGAAAACAGGTATATATATATATAGAGAGAGAGTTATACAAAACCATCATTGGTCATCTTTCATAAACCTCTATTCTACCTATGTACGTACGTATGTATGTATATATATATATATGTGTGTGCGCTCATACAAACGCTTATAGATGTACTTTTAATAATAATAATACTAATAATCATAATCAGATGTATCACTGTTGCTTTCTTCCTCTACTTTGAAATCAATCAAATCTTCTTCAATAAAAACCAAATTCATTTTGTATGTGATGAATTACTGAAACCTTTTTTGTTTCTTTGTTTGTTTTGTGTCAAACTATTCCCGAGTGGATTAAATTTATTCATTTTAATTTATTGTAATTAATCAATACACAATTATATAATCAATCAATTAATCAATCAACCAATCAATCAATCAATCAATCGATCGATTAATCAATTTACTTTGAATCAAATCAATTCTTGTTTGTATCTTTTGTTTGATGTATTTTAAAATCAATCGATCAATCAATCAATCAATCAATCGATCGATCGATCCATGAAATGATAATAATAATAATAATAATCAATTATGATGAATAATTTCCATTGTCTTTATGATCAAATGTTTACAGCTTTATTATTATTATTATTTCAGTAACCATTATAGTAACAATTATATCTAATCAATACCAAATACATCAGAAGACAAAGTGTTCATCGATTGATGAAAAAAAAACAAAAAAAAAGAATAATAATGAGAATTTTGTAAATAATTTTATTTTAATCCTTTATGTATTATTTTCTTTCTTTTCTTTTTCTTTTCTATTTTTGTTTTTTGTCTCTTTTACTTTTTAATGATGAACCAACTTTCTTATATTTCTATTATGTCATATAACAATAAAAAACAACAATGACGACGACGACGACGACAGCAACAACACCAACAACAAAGAAACGATTACACCATTCAAAGTTAAATCTAATTGAAATATTATCATATTTGTCAATAAAATGAGGATAATTATAGTGCAAGGTGTTTTATTATTGATTTTCAATAATTGAGATTATGAGTTAATTGAAGCTAGGCAACCATAGAAAATCTGGATAGCTGTTTCGTCATAGTATAGGACTCTTCAATTGTGTGTGCGCATCCACGATCTCGTCTCGCGAGATTTGAACCCAAAGACTTATCAGTCTCACCCTCGAACGCTTAACCTTGAAACCACTGAGCCGGCTATCATCCAATGGTGTTATTATCTAACTAATCCAGGAAATTGAGCGATATATCTCACAATAAGGCGAAACGGCCGTCCAGTGCTTGCAGGTTTTTTATGGTGTTCTGGCTTCAATTAGCTTATGATCTCAACTATTGAAATTACTATAATATCTATAAAAATCCCTTCTGATATTATTTATTTGACAATATTTATGCTTACGTAATGCAATAACACTTGGTTTTCTCCTTATTTATTTATTTGAACATGTAAATCTTGGTACAAACGGGCATCGAATACATGTGCACCACACAAGGCACTTGATTTGTATGTGAGCTCTGATACTGTCCGATTGTCCAAACCGAACCACGTGTTTTTCTTAGGGAGGCTACACTCAAGGCCTTTGACCTAAAGGTCTGATCCATAAGGCAGTGGAGCAATGTCAGAAAAATCCAGTCCCATGGTAGCCGGTGACCAACGATTGGTTCATACGCCATTTGTTCCTCAGGATACTGAAGCTCATGTGCAACCTTTGTTTGGAATCGAGGTTTCCCAACTCCCCTAAGTGTATACATCATAACCATCAACCCGGTTAAAGCGCCGAACACTCTTTTTTTGTCCTCCATATTTCGTAAACAACACCCCCGCCTTGAGAAGGCAGTGAGTAGGACTTTGCTGACAGTGGCTATATACGCGTGGTCATGTAAGAGCATTTCGGGATGGAGAACGGACTCTCCCACCTTTGACCAGGGTATTTGGTGGCGATTTTCTACCTAGACAAATAGAACGTCAAGTTACCTTGTTAGTTCCTATTTTACAGGACTTCAACATATCTCGAATGAAGAACCAGTGACTGATCTGACTGTAACGTGAGAATATTTCCACACCAACAATAACAATAATAATAGGGGTAAGTAAACATATAACACATCTAATATCTGTCAGATTATCTACTGGTCTGACTAGGTAAACAATCGATCATCATTTTTCTAATTTACACAGCACACAGTTAAATGGTGTCTTGGTTTCATAAATTTCCATAAGTTTGTAGAGATTCTGTTTGAACATCTTTTCTTGTGGATAAATCTCATGTGGAAGTGATAGATGTCCATCATTAAACTCTTTCAAACTAAGATGAAAAAGCTCTTCAGTGTTACCAATGATTTTCAATCGTATTTTCAAGTGTATTTTTTAATTAACTGAATTTGTTAATATGAAATATCTGAATTTCCCACTTAACCCTCTAAATATCTCGATTGTCAAGCCCTAGCATTATCATAGGGGTTCTTAACAAGGGGAAAAACCCAGCTATTTATTGTTCAAAAATTTTCGATTGTTCGGTATGATGGTTCAATGCTTAAGGCATTTGACTTTCAAATACTAAGTTACACTTTCAAACCCATGTAGAATCATTATTCCCCATAATTAGAGTGAATATCGAAGTTGTGTGAACGAATGACGTATACCAAACAGTGTATTTTGAATTATTGCATGTCATATATTTATTTAAGTTAAATGGACTTGAATTTATTCTAATGAAGTGTGACGACTTTCATATTGATTACGAACAAGATATTAACAAAATCAGTGGTTAGTAAAACTGGGAAAGAAGTCAATCGAAGTCCGAGAAGCTCAGTAGTAACGTGTTGGAATGTAAAGTTGGGTAATGCAGACTCGAATATCAATAGGATTATCATTTTCTGCAAAACTGGAGGTACAATCTAGTGACGAGTACCTTCTAGCTCGTAATCTATATCGTGAGACTTCTGCGAACTTCTCCAAACTATCTATATTATGCTTCAATAAGCAGTTAGACTGTGTGGTACCTGTTTATATTCAGTCTCAAGATATTAAGTTTACTGAATTCATCTAAAAGTAATCAAGTGGCGTTTAATGAGCAAACACCTAATCTATGCTTATTATATGTACGGTAGAGATTTGAACCGGCTAGTCCTAATCAAGAAAGTTAGATTTGACTTCAAGGCATTGATACAATAAATAGAATTCTATTGTTTTGTAATCAATCAATTATGAACGGATGAACTATCATAAAATGTAATTTACTTGGTTTTATTCAGCTTAATATAATCAATCAATCTACCGAAGGTAAGTTTCTTTTGTGTAGAATATCTGGCAACATCAATTGAAAGTTTTGATTCATAAATATAGTTCTAAAGATGAATGATATATGATGCTAAACTCAATTAATTTAGACCTGATTATTCAAAACTGAGAGGATCAGTTGAACAATATAAATTCATTGTATTACGTCATCGCTGTTGTAATACTTGGTTATTATTGTTCAAGGAGCAAAATGCATGAGATCCGACCGCTTAAACACTAAGGATTTCAAATTTGGTACGAGTAGTCAACATTTGGGCTATGTAGTAAATTTAGACGGAATAATCTTATTTATATATTTGTTTAAACACATAAATATTAGTATAAAAGAGGCATCAAATGGATGTTGAGTATCTTGTGTACACAACCATTTATAAATACTTGTACTTTCTTGACGATAATTATAATGGATCTCCACGTTTCATCACTGTACAGTAGAATTGTCTTGATGTTCGTATTGAAGATTGTGACTTTGATGTTGATTTGAAGACAGTTGTTTTGAGTTCCATATTATTGTTCAATTGTAGGAATGCGGGCGGCTCTTGCATTTCCAATCTTCACTTTTATGTGTTGATCTGATTAACCTTGTTCATCGATGATGCATTCCATGTGCGTGAAAGATTTTACCTCTTCCAGAACTTCACCATCAAGTGTGATTGGGTTGGTGTTCGCCGTGTTGTATTTGAGGACCTTGGTTTTCCCCTCCGCCTGGAGTCCCTCCGGGGGCTACTGCCGGTCCCAAGCCCGGATAAAGGAGGAGGGTTGGGCATGGGGTTAGCGTCCCCATCCCGTAGAAAAATAACTCGCTAAAAAAACTCTAACCAGAAAAAACTATTCAAGTCTTTTAAACTCTGCCCTGGGAGTCAGAAGGTCTTCATTTAGAAGAATTATGACGCCTCATGATGAAAGCCGAATTCCTTCGGAAGTTATGAGGCCGATGCCCCTTCTGACAACCAGAGCGACCATTTATTTAGGTACATGGAATGTTCGTACAATGTGGGACACCGGAAGAGCCTTCCAAATTGCTGCAGAAATGAGAAGATACAACCTAGAGGTACTTGGGATCAGTGAAACGCATTGGACACAAGTTGGACAACAACGACTAACTACAGGAGAGCTCCTGTTATACTCCGGCCATGAAGGAGAAAATGCACCACATACACAAGGAGTTGGATTGATGCTTTCCAAACAAGCGCCAAATGCACTTATAGGATGGGAATCTCATGGACCAAGGATCATCAAAGCCTCGTTTAAAACAAAGAAAGAGGGCATTTCAATGAACATCATCCAATGCTATGCGCCTACCAGCGACTACAATGAAGACGCTAAAGATCAATTCTATAATAGGCTGCAGTCAATCATCGAGAAGTGCCCAACAAAGGACCTGACTATTCTGATGGGAGATTTCAACGCCAAGGTTGGAACGGACAACACTGGATATGAAGACATCATGGGACGACACGGACTGGGAGAAAGAAACGAAAATGGTGAGAGATTTGCAAATCTATGTGCCTTCAATAAGCTGGTCATTGGCGGCACCATATTCCCACATAAACGCATACACAAAACCACATGGACTTCACTGGATCACACCACGCAAAACTAAATCGACTATATTTGCATCAACAAAACGTTCAGGAGGACGATGGAAGACGTGAGAAACAAGAGAGGAGCTGATATAGCATCAGATCATCACTTACTGGTCACCAAGATGAAATTGAAACTCAAGAAGCACTGGACAACGGGGCGGACAATATCACAAAAGTTCAATACGGCCTTTCTCCAGGATACTAACAAACTCAACAAATTCAAGATAGTCCTCAGCAACAAGTTCCAGGCCTTTCATGATCTACTCAATGGAGAAGGAACTACTGTGGAGAGCAACTGGAAGGGGATCAAAGAGGCAATCACTTCAACATGTCATGAGGTCCTGGGTCAGAAGAAGCACCACCACAAGGAATGGATCACTGTTGATACACTGGATAAGATTCAAGAAAGAAGAAACAAGAAGGCAGCAATCAATACCAGCCGAACAAGAGCAGAAAAAGCCAAGGCACAAGCTGAATACACGGAAGTAAACAAACAGGTGAAGAGGAGCATCAGAACCGACAAACGTAAATATGTGGAAGATTTAGCAACGACGGCGGAAAAGGCTTCAAGAGAAGGAAACATGAGACAATTGTATGACACGATAAAGAAACTCTCTGGAAATCGCCGCAAACCAGAACGACCAGTGAAAAGCAAGGAAGGCAAGGTAATCACCAACATTGAAGAACAACAAAACAGGTGGATAGAACACTTCAAAGAACTCTTGAATCGACCAGCTCCACTGAACCCACCCAACATCGAAGCAGCACCCACGGACCTCCCAATCAATGTTGTCCCACCAACAATTGAAGAAATCAGCATGGCCATCAGACAAATCAAGAGTGGCAAAGCAGCAGGACCGGACAACATCCCAGCAGAGGCACTAAAAGCAGACGTAGCGGCAACTGCAAGGATAATTCACATTCTCTTCAGCAAAATTTGGGATGAGGAACAAGTACCAAAAGACTGGAAAGAAGGACTTCTGATCAAAATACCGAAGAAAGGCGACCTCAGCAAGTGTGATAACTACAGGGGCATCACTCTTCTCTCAATACCGGTAAAACTCTTCAACAGGGTATTGTTAAACAGGATGAAGGACTGCGTAGACGCCCAACTTCGTGACCAACAGGCAGGATTCCGTAAGGATAGATCGTGTACTGACCAAATCGCAACTCTACGGATCATTGTGGAACAATCAATTGAATGGAATTCATCACTCTACATCAACTTCATTGACTACGAAAAGGCATTTGACAGCGTGGACAGAACAACACTATGGAAACTTCTTCGACACTACGGCGTGCCTCAGAAGATAGTCAATATCATACAGAACTCATATGATGGATTACACTGCAAAATTGTGCATGGAGGACAGTTGACAAAGTCGTTCAAAGTGAAGACCGGTGTTAGGCAAGGTTGCTTACTCTCACCCTTTCTCTTTCTACTGGTGATCGACTGGATCATGAAGACGTCAACATCTGAAGGGAAGCATGGGATACAGTGAACATCTAGGATGCATCTGGACGATCTAGACTTCGAAGATGATCTGGCTCTTCTATCCCAAACGCAACAACAGATGCAGGAGAAGACAAACAGTGTGGCAGCAGCCTCAGCAGCAATAGGCCTCAATATACACAAATGGAAAAGCAGGATTCTCCGATACAACACAGAATGCACCAATCCAATCACAATTGACGGAGAAGATTTGGAAGATGTAAAAACCTTTACGTATTTGGGCAGCATCATTGATGAACAGGGTGGATCTGATGTAGATGTGAAGGCGCGGATCGGCAAAGCAAGAGCAGCATATTTACAACTGAAGAACATCTGGAGCTCAAAGCAACTGTCAACCAACACCAAGGTCAGAATTTTCAATACAAATGTCAAGACAGTTCTACTGTATGGGGCAGAAACCTGGAGAACTACAAAAGCCATCATCCAGAAAATACAGGTGTTTATTAACAGTTGTCTACGCAAAATACTTCAGATCCATTGGCCGGACACTATTAGCAACAACCTACTGTGGGAGAGAACAAACCAGATCCCAGTGGAGGAAGAAATCAGGAAGAAGCGCTGTGAGTGGATAGGACACAGATTGAGGAAAGCACCGAACTGCGTCACAAGACAAGCCCTCACATGGAATCCTGAAGGTCAAAGGAAAAGAGGAAGACCAAAGAACACATTACGCCGAGAACTGGAGATAGACATGATGAGAATGAACAAGAATTGGATGGAACTAGAAAAGAAGGCCCAGGACAGAGTGTATTGGAGAATGCTGGTCAGCGGCCTATGCTCCATTGGGAGTAACAGGCGTAAGTAAGTAAGTATACTGAGGCCTAGTGATGCAGAGGCTGCTGCTACACGAGTTGACTTCATCTGAATTTGTCCATGTGTATGCGATAGGAGGGCTAGGTCATCTGCGAAGCCTTCAAATTGTCCAAATGGTTCTGAGCTGTCTATTGTATTCTGTGTTTTCTTTCGGATGTCGAGATCTTCATAATCCAGTCGACCAGCAGAAGAAAGAGGAAGTTGGAGAGTAGACAGCCTTGTCTGACTCCAGTCCTTACTTGGAATGCATCTGTCAGCTGTCCTCCATGCATCAATTTGCACTGTAGTCCGTCGTATAAGTTCCGGATAATGTTGACAATATTCTCAGGAACTCCATAGTGTCGAACGAGAAGCGTACTACACTCATATGATTTTGAAACAGAAACAGTCATGGCATTAACGATTTTCTTGAGATTTATGAAACTACTTACAAGTAGTTCAATAGATAGCGAAAAATAATTTCAACAACGATTGAAATTAGATATTCAGTAATTATAACCTAAAGTTTTAGACGTTATAAATGCGTAAAGAATATAGATGCAGGAGGTATTTACTAACTAGTGCCTAAGTTAAGTAAGTAATAAGAGTTATATTGAATAATTCAAGAGACCAGTGTTTTTTTTAGGATAAAGAATATTTGAGTATGAACAATTGTTTTCAATAACTTCATCATCATTAGGCTCTTCAGTTATAACTCCATAATGATTGTGATATTCTACAATGACTAAAATAAGCCACACATTAATGAACTTGACAAGATTATCTGTTGAAATTGGTGAACAGTTGCATCGGTTATAACATTCATATTTGAAAATTGTGTTATTTGTAAATTAGAGAGATCATCTAATAAAGATCAGAATGGTTTGGAGTAAAGTGTGTCAAGTCATAATCATACATAATAGTAATACAATGAATCGTGTGATTGACATGCATAGCGGGAGAATTTCGTCCCGTTAATCGAGGTGACAGTAATAACATTGTGTGAATATATTATGTAATCATTGAGGTGTTATCAAGTTTAGAGTATTTTTAGGAAGATTTTTTTCTACAGGACGGGTTACTGACCCCGTGCCAAACTCTGTTCTTTTAATGAGGCTTAAGACTGACAGTAACTCTGTCAGACTACTCTGTTACGAAATCTAGCACTCTTCCAGAAGTTTCCAGAATGTTGGAGTTACCAGTCAACTTCTGATCATTTCACCTTTTCTCTACCGTTCAAGATGCAAGTGTAAGAGAATTCTATAGATCTTGAAAATCATTAGAAAGTGTTTTAAAAGAAAAAAATATTATGAGAAATATGTCATTATTTTCTACTTCAAGCTTAATTTAGTTTGCATACGAATGACTCTATTGAACTTTCTTTTAAAATTCAATACTACAATAATGCTCGTAAATTAAGGGAATATCGAGGCAATATGCACAGTAGGAACATATGCCAACAAGAGAAAGACTGAACAGTTAAAGTCCTAAAACAACCATAAGAAGATACAAGTAAAACAATACAAAGTGCTTCCAGTTTTTCCATGGTGGTCTAGCTTCAATTGACTTGTGATTTCAACCTGTGGAATTTCTAAAATCTCCACAAAACCCATTCTGATAATAATCATCTGCTCACTAGTGACTGACTTCAAGAGATACTCCTGGAGTTCTAGTGAGAAGTCGTTACCAGTGGAGTTCAACCAGGTCTGTTGTGAGATAACAACTCACTGAAGACAATGGTGTACGGTGGCGCGATCTAGTGGATTGGTTGAAGTTAGACATTAATACCGTCGGCTGCCGGCTCAGTGATCTAATTGGTTAAACGCCTGGCGCGAGGCTGATAGGTCCAGGGTTCGAATCTTGCGGGGTGCGGGATTGTGGATGCGCACTGCTGAGGAGTCCCATGCTAGGACGAAACGGCCGTCCAGTGCTTCCAGGTTTTCCATGGTGGTCTAGCTTCAATTGACTCATGATTTCAATCAGTGAAATTCCTAAAATCTCCACAAAACCCCTTCTGATAATACAGAGTGAATTGAACTTCACCCTATCGCACAAGCCAGTGGTTACGAGGACTATGTAGCTAAGTCGATAAAGTGGTGACGTTTGAAGCGAACGATACTGAGTTCGAGTCCCAGAGTGAAAATCAACTTTGGAATGCAGTTACATCCAGCTGACGAGTCCAAACTAAGACGAAACTTACGTCAAACTGGATTCCACTACTAGCCACTATCTATCTTTGCTTATAATGTTTGTGAATTAATGTAATATCGAGACAATCCACACAGTATGCACATATGCCAATAACAGACTGATCAATTGCAGTCCCAAAACAACCATAAGAAGATACAATTAAAACAATACAAAATGAATTTATTGAACAGTTTTAATTTGTGTTTATTTAATTGTTATATGCTAGTAAAGATTACATTACGAGTAACGTCTGAGACTTATTAATGGACTAATATTATCTTTATATTCTTATGCTCTAACTATTCAACAAGTAGATTATGTATATTCATATTCCTCTTATTATAAGCTTCATTTTGACCTCTATATTATTATTGTACGATTTACGGTTATTAAGTTAGCTTCAGTTTATTAACTACTGCCTCCCACGTTCACAGTCACTTTTTGGCTTTGTGTACAAATGTTATTTCCTATTTAACGGTGCGTTGCGGTCTGTTTGATTGATATATAAACTCAGTATGCCTGAAATAAATGATTCTTTTCTATTCGATTCGCATATTGGAAGCTGGTATTAGTGTTCTGGACTGAAGTGGACGGGCTAAGCGGACATAGGACAATTAAGGACGCTAGGCTGCTCATCCCAGTCGAACATCATTGGTTTGGCACAGTACTAAGATTGATTGGTAGATAAATCACTTGATAAAAAGTCGGACACAAAAAGTCATAACATTAATGTTTACATTATACATTATTATTATTAGTATTATTATGTTCATTAATCATACATCCATTTTGTACTTTGAGCTAGATAGTTTGATCATGGAACCATGATCTAATTCAATAGAAAAAGAACAAAACTTCATCAAAATCATTCACCTGAGCTATAAATCTTCTCTCCTATCTCAAAATCATACATTAGATTATACATTATGAAAAGAAATATAAATGAATAAACATTAATTCATTACTATACAACTGTACAATAATTATTCAGTAGTATAGTACCTACTATTCATTGATTCTTTTATTGAAATGATCATAATAGATAAGATGAAAAAACAAACGAACAAATAAACATAAGTAGTGTCATTCTGTTCCTTTTCTTCTTCTTCTCCTTCTTCTTCTCTTTCTTCATAATATCACCTATGTGTATTGTGTACATTACCCTAGCCCCCCCCCCGCCTCCCTACTCTTTATTATCCAATTAAATGATACACTCATAACACTGTACATGACATTAGTTTATATTGACATGATGATTGAATAGTGTCATTGGGTTTCTTTTTGTTTTAATTTATTTTATTATTTAATAATTTGTTTATTGTATAAATTGAGGATGGATGTTTAGTATAAATGAATGGATCAGATATTGTTATATTATGACTAGTGGGACTATCATTGACTGTATGCTGATGCTGATGCTGCTGCTGCTGCTGATGTTGCTGCTGCTGCTGCTGATGATGATGATAATGTAAATTTGGTTGGAACAGTTGTGAATGTTGAGAATGATACAATGGTTGTTGTTGTTGCTGCTGCTGGTGGTGGTGGTGGTGGTGGTGCTGCTGCTGCTGCTGCTGGTGGTGGTGATGATGATGGTGATGTTGTGGAAGATAAGAATGAGAATATTTTTGTAAATGTAATGCACATTGTTGATGTGGATATGAAGTTTCAATTAGTTTATTCTCATTTATTGGTGTCATTGATGTTGTTATTGTAGTAGTTGTATTTAATTGAGCATGAAAATCTGTATTATCTATTGTATGATTATAATAATTTGTTGGATATATTAATCTATGCTCTATTTGTTCATTATTCATATCCTTTATATTCTGTGTATTGTTATACTGTTTATGACATCGTTTATTAGTAATATATTTTGATGAATCAGTTAAATGATGATCATCATGAGGAGTTGTGAAAATAATCCCTGAAGATGATGATGGTGATGATGATGATATTGATGTTGCTGAATTACTTGAATGTTCTATAGGACGTTTATAAAGTGTTTCAACAGCTGTAGCTATTTTAGATTGAATTGGACGTTTCCATTGTGAAGATAAAGATGACAATTTCCTATTATTATTATTACTTACATTGTTTAGTTCATTCAAGGAATCACTTTGTGATTGATTCATATTGATTTTACCATGATTTATAGGTGATGAATGAAGTTTTAAAGAGTAATTATGATAACAACTACTTGTATCTTTAAGACTATCCACTTCATTTAGATTAGACATATAAGGACTATTATGAACACTAAGACATTTCGACTTTAGTATTATCATTTTTCCTTGATTTGATTGTGATCTTGATGTAGTACGTGGTGGTATAGGTGGTGGTATAGATAATAAAGGAGTAAGTTTATTATATTCTGTCATTTGATTATTATAAATTGTACGTCTATTTAATTTCTCTGAATGAACTTTAGGTTTATTAATAATTTTACTGAACTTTTTCAAAGATGAATCTATCATAGCTGTGGTATTTGAAGAAGAAGAAGAGGACAAAGAAGAAGAAGGAGTAGTAGTAGGAAGAGGGATCTTTGGAATCTTTTCAGTGAACATAGTTTTACTATCAACCAGTGATGATTGTAAACTACAATTTTCATTAGATATGATATTAGAAATGTTAGTATTTAATGATAAAATTGGTGATGTTGGAGATGATTTTGAAGAAGAAGAAGAAGAAGGAGGAGATGATGATGAAATAAAGTTTGTTTTAAAATCTTTTTGATTGTTTGATGTTGTATTGGAAAGAGATTTCATTGGACTATGTGATATAGTTCTTAGACGATGAATTTCAGAGGAATTCAATGTGTTAGAAATACAAGATTGATTGATATGATTTGTTGTTGGTTTCAATATCATAGACGATGATATAGAATGAGAATAGTTAGGAATAGGTTTATCATTTACAAAATGTTTCATTTCATTAGAACAAGAAGATATGATCGGTGATACTGGCAGACTTGTTGTAGTACCGTCATATTGAGGTAGTCTTATTTTTGAATTCTGTGAAATAGATATTATTGATGATGATGATGATGACGATGTTTTATTATTTGAGGAGTGTTTCGGTCTCTGTAATGATTTCATGGAACGATTATTTCCAAGTTTGCCAATTTGGGATTGTTTCACGGTTGTAACATTTTGAAAAGAAAGTTTATTTTGTTCCAGTGAGATTAAATCAGAGGTAGACATATTGGACTGAGAGGTTACTTTAATCACTTGTGAGTTATTACTATGACTATTCTCACTAGATAAAGTTATCTTTGAATGTTTCATTTCTGTCTGTAATTGATTATCAACAGTTAGAGCAGTGTTCATTGTATTTTCAGTCTTATTTACAGAGGACTTTATTTCTTCCAAATTTTTACAATTAGCAGATTTCTAAGAAAAAAATTTCAAAAGAAAACAGTGATGGTGTTAGATGGATGTAAAAGTTGAATGAAAAGTCTAACTTACTTACTTACGCTTGTTACTCTTCATCGAGGAGCATAGGTCGTTCATTAACATTCTCCATCCAACCCTATCATGGGCAATCCTTTCCAAATCTCTCCAGTCCTTATTCATCCTTTTCACATCTGCTTCTATTTCCCAACGTAATGTGTTCTTTGACCTTCCGCTTTTCTGCTTCGTTTCACGACCACAAGTTAATGATTGCCTCGTGATGCAGTTTGGTGATTTCCATAATGTATGTCCTATCCATTTCCATCGTCTTTTTCTGATATCCTCTTCAGCTGGAAGCTGGTTTGTTCTCTCTCACAGTAGGTTGTCGGTGTTTGCATCGGGCTAACAGACATTGGGTATCTTAAGTAGACAATTATTTATAAATACTTGTACCTTCTCGATGATGGTTGTAGTAGTTGTTCAAGTTTCAGCTTTGTACAGTAGAGCTGTCTTGACGTTCGTATTGAAGATTGTAACTTTGATATTGGTTTGAAGACAATTGTTTTGAGTTCCGTATGTTTTTCAATTGTAGGAATGCGACCCTTGCTTTGCCAATCCTCGCCTTTACGTCAAACTACCTTTTATATTATTGTACTTTTCAGTAAAGGGTTGTGAAGATTAATAAGTTTTTGATTAACATCATAAATCGATCGATATCATATTACCATTGGAAACACGAAAACACTAGACGGTCGTTTCTTCAACAGTGCTCATCCACTATCCATCTCGTGGGATTTGAACCCATGGCTTTCAGTCTCGCTCATGAACACCTAACATCTAATTATAATTTTATACTACAAGGAATCTGTAAACAACAATAAAATAACTATCTCAATAGTTTTCAACTTTTAATAGTCCTATAAAGTTTAAAATATAGAACTGTTTTGAACAGAAAGCAATCACGCATTCAACCCCACCCCCTCTACTGTACATAATTCATCTTTATTGTATATAATTATAGAAGACCTATGAAAGTCTAAAACAACAAAGACTAGTTCAACGAACAACTATTGCACTAACTATATCCGGAAGAAAACAACAACAACAAATTGAAAATTGGCGGCGTAAAGTTATCATTATTATAAGGTGTATTCTGTATTTGTTACCATGTTGGATACATTATGTAATAAAGTTTTCTTTTTTTTTATTGTTATTGTTGTTGTTGTTATCGAAAAAAAGAGAAAAAAAGGCAGAAAACAAAACATCTATTCAACTATCATGTAGGTTAAATTCAAATGATCCCTTATTCCATATGGTTTAAATAATATTGATGTAGTATTGATGTAGATCAATTTCTCTGGTTAATTTAAATGAAACACAATTTTACAGCTTAATCATCTATTGAATACAAAACGGTTACAAAGGCAGTGTGTGTGTGTGTGCACACAGGATATATATATACATATATCACTAAGAGAAGGAGAACGAGAGAGACTGATCCATTGTAGTCTTAAATAACAATTGGAGGATATAAGTAATGTAACATCAAGTGAATAAAGCTTGTATTGAAACGAAAACATAAGATAATCATACAATATACATATGCAAGCAGGAAAACAAACAAACAAAATGTAACTCTCATATTGGTTGTGTTTTTTTTAATGTAAGATTTACTAACAGGATTCATTGTTTTTATGATTCATTTTACCGCATAACAAGAGAAGTGAATTCAGTAATTGAATTCATGAGTTAATTGAAGCTAGACCAACGTGGAGAGCAGTTTCGTCCTAGTATGTGACTCCTCAGTAGTGCGCAATCACAATCCTGCCTACCGAGATGCGAAAATAGGATCTATCAGTCTTGCGTGTGAGCACTTGAACACTAGATCACTGAGCAGGCCGGCATCCAACGGTGTTAACATCTAACATCAACTAATTCACGAAATTAAGCGACACATTCACCATTGTCATCAGTGAGTTATTATCTCACAATACACCTGGTTGAACTCCATTGGTCACCGTTTCTCACCGGAACTCCAGAATATACGTCTTGAAACCAGTCACTAGTGATCATACGATGATGATTATGAGAAGTGGTTTTTGTGAATATTATAGTAATTTTAATAGTTGAGATCATGAGTCAAGTGAAGATAGACCACCATGAAAAATGTGGAAGCATTGGATGGTAGTTTCGTCTTGGTACGAGACTCTTCAGCACTGCGCACTCATGATCCTGCCTAGCGAGGTTCGAAACCAGGTACTATCAGTCTTCCGCGCGAACGCTTAACCTCTAGACCACTAAGCCAGCCGGCATCTAACGGTGTTAATGTCTAACTTCAACTAATCCACAAATATATTCATAAATATTTTTGCTTCAATATTTGAGAACAAATAGATTTTAAAATAGAAAAAAATCTGTAATCATGTGTAGAGCAGTAAATGTTTCATTGAAAAAAGTTGGTTGGAGTGAAGGACACATTTGGATGGATAATGTAGGTAGGCTGCCTATGCTTCGATATAAGGGATAACAGAAGTAAATAAGTAAGTAAATACGTAAAATTTGGTCGGAGTTTAGTGTTTTTACCATATATTTATAGCCAAAATATGTAAGCCGTAATGCGATAAACAGGAAAAACAATAACATTATTGTGTGAAGTTGGGGCCTGGGGGGGGGTTAGAGAAAGAAATATTATTACCAAGTTGTTTCATTCACTTGATGTTGTTTTATTTGTATCTTCCCATTGATATTCAGGACTGCAAATGATCAGTCTGTTATTGGCATTTGTGCATACTGTGCAGACTGCCTAGATGTAGCTTTAAGTCACAAGCTTTTTTAAGCAAAGATAGATAGTGGCTAGCAGTGGAATTCAGTTTTACGGGCGTTTCGTTCTATTTGGGACTCGTTAGCTGGACATACCTGCATCTCAGAGTTGATGTTCACCTTGAGCCTCGAACTCAGTTCGCTTTGAACACCATCACATTGTTCACTTGGCTACTGAGTCATGCTAGCCACTATCCATCTTTACTTAAAAACTCGTTTCATGTTTGACAATGGAAAGATAACTGAATGTTAATTATTAATGAGGTAGCTGATTTTTTTTGTTTGAAAGTGATCAAGTCTATATGATAACAAAGTTTTCAGTTATCTTCATGAAATGCTTATAAATGTAAAGTACTGGGGAATTATAAAATAGATATCGAATATTACTTCCTTTATTTAGGCTTGTCAAATGAAACCATTTCATGATCATAATGACCAGCTGAAACACTTAGGTTACCATTTTTTTTCCGAGCACGAATTTAATACCATTCATAACTAGATATTTCTGTCAATCACATGTAATTACGCGCTTTCACAAGACGTTTACAATCTAATGAATTGAGAAACTCAAAAAGTGTCATCATAAGAGTTCGTGTATTTTCCTTCCCTTTTGTTCTTTGAAAAATACGAGAGGCAATTACTGTAGAGATTTTACACTAAATATATCAAGCTAAATGGTAATGGATATCATGAGAGTAAGACTGATCACAAATAATTATGAATGAGAATGAATGATATCTGTTACATTTGATGAAGTTTTGTTCTTTGAGCTGGATAGTTTGATCATTGAGCTTTCATCGTTCTTCTGAATGACATCATCACAACTGTTACTTACGCCTGTTACTCCTAATGGAGCACAGGCCACAGACCAGCATTCTCCAATACACTCTGTTCTGGGCCTTCTTTTCTAGTTTCATCCAATTCTTGTTCATTTTTCTCATGCCTATTTCCATTTCCCGGTGTAATGTGTTCTTTGGTCTTTCTCTCCTCCTAGTCCTCATTTGGCCTTGAGGATTCCATGTGAGGGCTTGTCTTGTGACGCAGTTGGGTGCTTTCCTCAATGTGTGTCCTATCCACTTCCAGCGCTTCTTCCTGATTTCTTCCTCCGCTGGGATCCGGTTTGTTCTCTCCCACACTAGATTGATCACAACTGTTACAGTGATTTAAATGTTTTACACATTATATTTCAATATTCTCAAGTTGAATACTCATCAAATAAGAATGTTTTTGTAACTGTGTGTATTTTCTGTTGAGAATTCTTTACTGTCTTTATTAATGATATTATTTTTCACAATTGATTAATCACTAGGTCATGTATGATAGGTCGTTCTTAGTGAGGATCGAATCTTTTCGATTAGGTTGCAATATGTCTACTAATCTACGTCACTCAACATTGCATACACCATATTGAGATAAGATGACAGTTGGAAATAGTCGAGGTAGGTCCACAGTTTCCTTAATTCCATGCTTGATTCATACATGAACTATTTAGTAAGCAACTGAAGATCTGATTCTTCATTTATTACTATTTCGTATACCCGTTTACTTAATGTTATTTATGATAAGTTAAGAACTTTATTTATCTCACTGTAGTGACATCGGGTCTTAATCACACAATCCTCAAAGCTGAACACAAGATAATTGAAGAAATAGATATTCAACATTTGACGCGTAAAAAGTCCAACGATGTAAAAAGCGGGAAGAATGAATAGAATTAGTTCGAATTGGTCGTATGGCGTGGCTCAATCTTGTAAGCGTAGTCCTACTTATGTAACAGTCTTTTATCTATATTAAATATATTGTTCTATCTCCAATCTAAATGTGTTCTTCATCATATATTGATGATTGAATACAATACGAATGAGTCAGGGTAGATAATGATGTGACATCCACGTAAGATCTTATAGATTAGGTAGTTACATCATGACAAATATACAATTTTAGGATTAAGTCTATTATCAGAGTGGTACTAATAACGTAGTAGACCATAAGTCTACACCATTACTAGAATTAAAAACTGTAATAAATTGTTCTAAGTGTTTCGTTTGAAGAACCTTTAATTGGATTACATCACTTCTTTGAAAAGAAACTTTTCATTCACAATCATGGTGTTTGTTCATTATCTATAAACCATTAAGAAATCACACATTTGTCGTATGGCTTTTTATCGAAACATTTCAAAAAAATTACCACAACTAACTTCATTACTGTTATATCCTGATGAGAATAATGAATGGTAACTTTTGGGATCCATTTGTGGACCAATAGTATACGTATACTTTTGTCGTATAATTGATAAATAACTAAACTGTTCACATTCACGTCCCTCTTATTATGAGCTTTATTTAGACCTATGAACTATTATTATACGATTTACCATTCTTGAGTTATACCTGGTCTATCAATTACTATCTCCCACATTCACAACCACATTTGACTAAATCTTGTACAAATGTTGTTTCCTATTTTATGGTATGATGTAGTCTGTTTGGCTGGTATATAAACCGAGTATGTTTGAAATACATAATTCATATTGCAGAGGCTGAGATCGGTGTTCTGGACTTAACAGGCAAGGCTAGACGGGAAGCAGGATCGATAAAGACGCTAGGCTGTTCGCATGTGTCTTATGCTTAATTCGTCCGATCGATAAATCACTGTTCTCTAATCGGCGATATCATTACGTTATACATTAATAGGACACAGGGCACAAGTTATAACAATGACATAATCTGTAATTTGAGAATGATATATATTTTTGTTAAGAAAGAAGAAAATATTACTTACTTGTCGATCAGTAAACTTTGATATTCTTTTCGATGGAAGCTTCTGAAATCTTCTCCGATAGATTACCACTGGTGGTGGAGCAACAACTTTGAGATTACATTGGGAATCACTTGAGATTTCAGGAGAATTTTTAAGGGATTTTGGATCCAAAGAATGTTTTCTACATTCTAAAACATTGTTTACTTCCAGTGGATTAATATTCTTCAATGTCTGTATAGATATATATTCATAAGAAAAGATAAGTAATAAACGATAGTAAAGAGCTCTTATTATTAGACAGTATACAGTAGAAAATTTTTAAGCTTTGATTAAATAAGAATTTCAGACCATTCCATTTCAATTCCTAACATGTTTGAAACAGTGAATTCTCTATTACGTATTATCCAAGTTTAATATAGTTATTATGGATGACTATTAACTTAGTCTAATGAAATCATAAGTGGTTGGAGTTAGTTAGTAAGAAATCTTAGGTCTCGATTTCGTGCTAGTTGGGATTCATCATCAAGAAGTAGCTACAATCTTGTGTGAACTGGTATTCTTATTAGGGTTCGAATCCGTGTTATTCGGTTTCCTATTCTAAGCTTCTTATTTAAAATGAATAGCCAATGATTATTGTTCGGTGTCATGTTTATTTAATACTTAGTACTGATGAAATTACATTTAACAGGTTGGACTCATTAAACAGCCATTAGACCATAATATATTATACCACAGTTGTAGATACAAACTTGTACTTGATAAATGAATTATGTCAAACCAAATAATCTCATTGTTTGATCCATTCAATTTAAGACATTGTGATTCAATTCATATATGATTAGAGAACTATTGTCTTATTTCCTTATTTGGTTGGTTTTTTAAGTTAAGGCCTTCTAGTTAGAATTCTGTACCATGTACTCACAGAAGTTATAAAGTTTGGTGTAATAAACATACTTTCAACATCGTAGCTCTAAGGTATTACGTTTGGGACTAGTGTCTTATCAGTGAGACTATAATTTATGGACGAACTGATCAGATTTACGATTACAAGTCTTAGATTTTGGTGCGAAATTCATTCATCCATTTGGCTAAATAGCGTCTTGGTATTTTAGCTGAGGTCAGTTCTTCATGAAAACCCTGAATCGAATCACTATCTTTAACCATCAACTATAAATCACAATCCTTATCCTTCACACAGGTTGAAAACCCTCATTTAGCCCTAGTCAGTAGGTGTACATTCTCAAAGTCACCTTAGCGTCGCTCAATGGTGGTCTCATTTTCTAATCCTGATTAAATCTTAATAATATACAGACAGCGACCTGTTCATGATGAAAATCATTCTTAGGTTAAACGTGATTCACATAGATCACTTACTAAGTAATTTCTTATTTAAATTTAGTTGACTTTTAATTACCCTTAATGTTTTCGATAATTTTCAAAGAAATAGTTTCAACACAATGAAATCTAAATGTTCATTTATTCGGAAAAAACGTTTTCGGTTAGACTATAGTTTATAGACGACCATCAAGCGACGCTAGACTGACCTTGAGAGAGTCTACCTGATAACTAGGATCAAATGAGCGTTATAAACCAGCGTGAGGAATTCGAATGATGATTTACAGTTGATGGTTAAGATTAGGAATTAGATTTAGGATTTTCATCATGAAGTGACATCAGCAATAATGCCAAAACTCTATTTATCCAAATGGTGAGTGAATTTCGCGCCAAAATCAATGACCTATTATCTTATATTTAATTGGTTCGTCTATAAATTATAGTCTTGCCAAGTTTTCTTTCTCTTCTGAGTAATCAAAGTTAATATTGATGGTTTTATGTTAACACTGTTAAATTCCTTATTGGTTTCTTCCTAACTATAAAATGTGTAGAGCGTTGAGTTCTATCATTTATCAAGTTGTCAATATACAATATTTAACAATATTTAGCTCTCAATTATCAGTGTATAATGAAAATTATCTTTAAAATTTTATTATGAGAAAGAAGTTTAGTGGAGATGTTCTAGTAATTTCATAGTTAAATTCATCAATCGATTAAGGGTAGATCACCATGACAAACCTGAAAGCATTAGACGTCCATTTCATCCCAGTATGGGACTCCTTAGTGATGCGCATCCGTAATCCCGCCCACGGGATTCGGACTCAAGACCTTCGGTTTCGTGCATGAACACTTAATCTCTAGAATATTGAGTCAGCTGGCATCCAAAAGTGTTAATGTCTAACTTCAACCAATCCATCATATTGCGCCATCCCCCACCATTATCTTCAGTGAGATCGAAGATCTTAGGTTCGAATCCCGCGTGCCTGATCATGGATACGCAATGCTGAGAAGTCTTACATTAAGACGAAACAGTCATCTAATACTTTCAAGTTTTTCATGGTGGTCTAGTTTGAATTAACTATTACTTCGTTTTTTTTTCTAAAAAAGATGGTAAGTTTTTTATCAAATTGTTCTAATGAAATGAATCTCCCTAATTATGTAGGTGGATAGTTTAAATATATAAATAACAAAATGAATTGACCTAAAGAAGATGAAGATGAAATAAAAATGGCATAGATACAATATCCACTTTCTATTATGTACATTAGTTAAACAAAATAAATTGGATAACAAACATCTTGATTGTTTTGTTTGTTTGTCTGTCTGTCTGTCTGTCTGTCTATTTGTTTGTTTGTTTGCTTGTTTCAACTACGTGTTCGTTGCCTTGGAGAACAATCATAATAATAATAATAACATTGAACAATATAAACAATATAAATTAGTCAGTGTAATAATCTTAAATGAAGTTGTCAGATTGTTTACATTCAATTCATTGTTTGGTTTGTTTATTATTACTATTATTATTATAATACCTTATTTCAATTAGATTTCAATGAAAATGATTATATAATTTATATAATAACCCTTATTTGGAATCTTCAGAGCTAATAGAGAGGAAGACGAGGACTAAAAAAGTACATGACGCCGAGAAATGGAATATAGTCAGTCAGTCAGCTACAACGTAGGACCAGGCACATATGTGCATCGGTCCAGGTTGCCATACCGCATCAGTACAACAAGATGAACACCGGATTCATAGAAGTGGTTGGGTCAAAGGTGGTAATATATAAGAGAAAGATTGCATATGGGGATATAGTACACGAAGAAAGAATTGGTTCGTAGAAAGAAAGATATGAAGCGATTTTAATCTCTTAATTTAAGGGAAGACAGAGAGTGTATACACCGACGCCATTGTGATCAATTCTGAGCCATGTCTACAAGAGTCTCCAACCATCGGTTACGATAGTCGCGCGGACCCCAACCAAGTAGTCTGCATCTACCAACATGGCTAAGACTAGAAGTTAGTGTCTTCAAACACTGATACCACGTTTTGGTTTGGCCGCCCCTAACTTTCTTCCAACCATCTCCAATACCGGTTAGCATTGCACGTCGTGGTAATCGGTGTTCAGGCATACGTAACACGTGGCCCAACCATCTCAGTCGATGAAGATTCATAACCTTATCAACTGATTTACCATCATTTCCTAATACCCTGCGTCTGACCCCACTATTACTTACCCGATGATCCCAGCAGACGCCAGCAATATTTCTAAGGCATCTGTGATCAAATACTAATAGCTTACGAGTGTCTTCTACTCTTAATGGCCATGTTTCGCTGCCGTAAAATAAAACAGAACGGACTGCCGCGCATTATACTCGTCCTTTTATTGATAGACGGATATCTCGCCTTCGCCATAGGTGACGCAAGTTGGCAAAAGCCAAACGAGCTTTTCGAATCCGTGCTGAGATTTCGTCAGACGCCAACCCATTATAGATATTGAGAAGAATGAATAACAATTGGATAGAACTAGAAAGGAAGGTAGAGTGTGACAGAGTGGATTGGGAATTGTTGGTTGATGGCCTATGCTCCATTCAGAGTAACAGGATTAAGTAAGTAAGTAAGTAAGTAAGCAAATTAAAATGAGAATCATTTTGAATTAGTGTGTGTTTATGTTTGGATTTTGAAATTAGATTTTTTTTTAATATCTTCGTGATTTTCGATGTTCATAGTGTCTAATGATTATCGATAGTGGTAGTTTGAACTTTTAAAGTAAATAGTTAAATTCAGATATATTAAAGTATAGAGCTTATAATCCAGATACCATCAGCAACAGCCTACTGTGGGAGAGAACAAATCAGCTTCAAGCTGAAGAGGATATTAGGAATAGAGGATGGGAATGGATAGGACATACATTACGCAAATCATCAAAATGCATCAAGAGGCAAACCCTAACTTGGAAACCTGAAGGGAAACGGAAAGGAGGAAAGCCAAAGAACACATTACTTCGGGAAATCGAATCAGATATGAAAAGGATGAATAAGAACTGGAAAGAGTTGGAAAGGATTGCCCGCGACAGTGTTGGATGGCAAATGCTGGTGAGCGACCTATGTTCCTCTACGAGAACTAACAGGTGTAAGTAAGTAAATTGTATAGTCATTTCAACGAATACTATTCAGTCAAGGAGAATATCTAGAGTTAATCATCTTTCCATTCCTTTGAAATGAGAACGTTTGATCCACAAGACAGTGGAGCCAAGTCTGAAGATGCAGTTCCATGGTGATCGATGACCAACAACAGGTTAATACGCCATTTGTTCCTTCAGGATCCTGGAGTCCATGTGTACAATTGGTTTGGAATCAGGGTTTTCCAACTCCCAGTTAAAGCGCCGGACATTCACCTTTCGTCTTCTCAATTTTGTAAACAACAGTTATCCTACAAGAATGCACCAAATAGGACTTCACTGTTAGTGAATGTATTCACGTAGCCACTTGAGAGCATTTGTAGAGGGAAAGTTGATTCTCCCCACTCTCCGCCATACCAGGATAGATTAATGCCCTAACTGCAATACCTCAAAGTTTAGGGTGATTGTAAAATAAAACGATTGTAAAATCAGTCTACTGTAAAATAAAACTATTTCCACATTGGAATAACACTCATAATCTATTCAATTACATTACTAAAATGATACAAATATTATTATAATCTATTATAATCTATGAAACAACACAATTATACACTTACTTGTATTGTATTATTACATTCAATACTTTTCTGTTTCTCATTAGATACAATGGAAGTGTAATTTTTATTTGTATTTTTAATTATTGATCTTTTCATTTCAATATTGATTGAATTCAATGGTTCATTAGAATGTTTATCATATTTCTCATTATTATGATCATTTGTATTTGATATAGTTGATATCCGTTTCAATCTATTACCGTTACTATGATTTGTATCTTGATTATTACTGTTGCCATGGCAACTATTATTATTATTATTATTACTCGTCATTACATCATTTCTTTTTCTATTTGATTTGATGAAATAATTTTTAATATATAATGAATCTATAGAACTATGCAATTCACCACCATCATCATCATCATCATCATGATCATCATCACAACAACTATCAATAGCAGAATCATCCGTAGATGTAATTGTAAATTTACTAGTTAATAATTCTGTATCACTAAATACACCAAATTGTAAATTTTTACGTGCATTATGAAATTTACGAAATGTATCATAATAAGTTAAATGACTTTCTAAATCATAACTTTTAGTGAATTTCTTGATATTCATTAATTTCATTGTATTTGAATGAAATATTGTAGAACGTAATGGATAATGATAACGTAATTTTTGATCCCTGTTAAATAAAATAAGAACAAGTACATATGTATATATATACAGAATAGTAGTGAAGATTTGTAACTTAGATGAATGATTCACTGGGAAGATACAAGCCAAACAATACCAAGTGAAACACTACTTTGATTCGATACTTGGTTCGAGTCCCAGAATGAACATCAACTCTATGAGATGCATGTACATCCATCTGACGAGTCCCAAATAGGACGGAACGCGCGTCGAACTGGATTCCACTGCTAGCCACTATCCATCATTACTTACAAATAGCTTGTGAATTAAGGTAATGTCGAGGCATTTGCACAGTATGCACATATGCCAATAACGGACTGATCAATTGCAGTGTTAAACCTCAATGGGAAGATACAAGCCAAACAATACCAAGTGAATTAAAGTGCACCCCATTGCACAAGGAAGTGGCTATCAGGACTCATTAGCTGAGTGGATAGATAGAGTTTTCTTCAGTGAGCTAGATGGTTTAGTCGTGGAGTTTTCATCATTCTTCTGAACAACATCATCAGTATAGAAATTCAGGTACAAGTGAAATGTTCAAATTTCTCTACATGTGGTTCACTCGTTGTCTTGTACACCATGATTTTGATTAGTTCTTGCTGAACTTAAATCTGTTATTGTTTACTTCTTTGTTTTGGTTGTATCACCTATTGGTTTGATTTTTGGTCTTATGTTTGTGGTGATGACGTCGTTCAGAAGAGCGATGAAAGCTCCACGGCTAAACCATCCAGCTCAGAGAACAATACTCCATTCAAACACAGAATATTCCTCAAATGATTGTATTAGCTAAATTTAAAATGATAAGTTAATTTGAATTTGTAGTGTGTAATGTTCGGTATTCAATATAATCTTTACACTTCGTATACTGTTCGTCCTGATAACCGTTACCAGATAATGTCCTCAACGGTGTATAAATCAGAAGACGTGTACGAATTGTTGATTAAGTTTATTACTGTACCACGCACAGATTACCAAAATTACAGGTACAGTAAGCAAATATGAAAGAATAGGGCCGAAAAGCAAGCGAGGGAACGTGCGAGTCAAATGAGCGAGTCAATGAATCAATGAACAGGATTAAAATGTACATATATATAAATAGTGAAATGAGTGAATCATCGAATCAATTAAGCGACTAACATTAAACTACAAGAATGAATATATATGAGTAGGTAGTAAGCAATGCTCAAGCATACATATTCATAAAAGTGCAACAATAATAAAGGTACTATGGTATAAATAAGTTGTACGAATTACTTTATCCGTTAAATAAGTTAACAAAAGGGCTTAACCAAATTAGATGTGAACAAAATCAATTGCATGTGAGCTACTATACATGTCGGTTACTATGTTAAGCCCTAGTTAGCGCACCTGTCTTGAGGTCACAAACTGTAACTAGTTCGTCTTCATTGTCATATATGCCAGTGAAAGCATCGAATCTAACATCAGTCTTCTAAATCTCTTCTCATCTGGTTTCTGACCATCTTCATCACCTACCTGCTACTACACATCCTAATCAAAGCAGTTTCCACTAGTCAAATCATCTTTTACTACAACCAGTTTCTTAATATCATGTGATGAGGCATTCTAATCTCCCTAATTTACTTCGATAGCAGACTAAAGAACCGGCTTGTCAACCACAAGTTGAAGATATATCTCCTGCTCATGATGAATCTCATCTAGTGGATACCCAAGATGTAGAGCTTCATCGTGAAAGCGAAGAAATAAACCGTCAGTTGACAGTATTAGATGTTGATATTATTAAACAAGAATCTCATCTAAGAAATCCGTGTGAGCAATAGGCTTGTCTAACAATTCGAATTGAGGTAGCAACTGCACTCGACACACTGAACAATAATGATCCAACTGAAGTCAGATACATGGCCACTAAAAATTCAGCATGCGTTAAGAATTCAGTAAGAATCCTTTTAATATAAGTAGAGATCTGAAATATATGTATATATATATATATATTAATATCGGAAGGGTTTTTGGGATATTATATTAAATTTAATAGTTGAGACCATGGGTCAATTGAAACTCGAACACTATGGAAAACCTGGAAACAATGGACGGCTTTTTCGACCTAGTTTGGCATTCCTCAGCAGTGCGCATCCATGACCCTGCCTCGCGAGATTCGAACCCAGCACCTATCAGTCTCGCGCGCTAGCGCTTAACCATTAGACCACTGAGCAAGCCGACATCCAACGATGTTAATATCTAACTTTAACTAATCCACGAAATTATGCATCACATCCACCATTGTTTTCAGTGAGTTACTATTTCACAATACACCTGGTTGAACTCCATTGGTCACCGTTTCTCACCGGAACTCCAGAATAAACGTCTTGAAACCAGTCACTAGTGATCATATGATAATGATTATCAGAAGGGGTTTTGTGGAGATTTTGGTATTTTTATAGTGGTTACACACTGCTGAGGAGTCCCATACTGTGTCGAAACATCCGTCCATAGCTTCCAGGTTTTTCATGGTAGTCTAGCTTCAATTGACTCACAAATTCACCTATGAAATATTTATTTGTTTCAACAGGATGATAGACTAATAAGCCAATGTTTTTAAAATATCTGGCATATCAGACATTTGGGGGGGGTGACATAATGGTACAATTTTTATTTACTAGATAATAATATGAAAACAACATTTTGTCTATCCATAAATTATCAATAGGTAATCAACAATCAATATAGTTGATAGGCTTATTTTGATAATATAAAGTTGGGGGGTGGATTTTTATTATTTACCCCTTTACTTTATCTTATACATTAGGTGTATAGTATGGAAACTTAGACCATAAACAGATTATGCCAAATTGTATGTTGTTTATACCAATACACATAACCCGTTCAGTCAATCAACATTGTATTAAACTATGAACATCATCATATTCTATTAACCAACAAGAATTGTGGAATAATTACCTATAAGATTAGAGATTATTTCATTAAACTAACTACTAAAAAATTTCGTATTCAATCAGTTGGACCGCATTTAACAGAATTGACCAATTAGTGACAAGTTTATACGAACTTACTAGTATAGTGGTTGTGGAGATTATTCAACATGTGATCACTAGTGACTAGCTTCGTGAGGGAATTCTAGGAGTTCTAGTGAGAAGCTGTGACCAGTGGAGCTAATTCATGTCGGGTAGAGACAGGTATCTACCTCAGTACAATAAAAGTTGGTCGCGCTATTTCGTGGATTGGTTGATGTTAGACACTATCACCACTGAATGCCGGCTCAGTGGTCCAGTAGATTAAGCGTTCGCGCGCGAGGCCGAAAGATCTGGGCTCAAATCCCGCTCTCGGGATCGTGGACGCTAACTGCTGAGGAGTTCAGCAATAGGACGAAACGGCCGTCCAGTGCTTCCAGGTTTCCAAAGGTGCTCTATCATCAATCGGTTCGTGATCTTTATACGAACTTGTTGTTTATCTAGTTGGATCTGATTAATCACCATGGTATATTATTTTTTCTTCAAAATTTACATTAATGACCTTACATTGGCAACCTGCTTGAATTTCTGAGCAACCTATTCCTACTATCTGGATATTTCAACAAGTTATTTGTTTTATTGTTTGTTTTAATAGATCATTATGACTGTTACTTGATCACATAACCTATTTAGGGGCATTTGTGAAAAGTGTACAATCTTTCGTTGTACTAGGTACAAAAGTACCCAATTAGAGATATTGTAGTTACTGGCAATGTATATCGAAAAGAATACACAGTAACCAGATGTTAATTCTTGAACTGCTACCATCTAATTGGTGATCACTCAGTATTTATCGTCAGAAGAGCCTAATTAGAGACATCGTGGTTGCTGGCAGTATGCAACGAAAAGAATGTATATTATTTAGATGTCGATTGACTGGACTGCTAAATTCGAACTGGTGATCATTCAATATTTATCGTCAGGATCGACCAATAAGTAAGAAATGCGAAACTTGTTGTAATACTTTGAGCTGAGAACTCTATATTGTACTAGGACTATGATATGGAATAAGGCCATCATTATTAATTTTATGATTACCGTATGGATTTTAAGTAACTCAAGCTTGTTAAGTTCTAATTAGTGTTCCTCAATAAACTTTAGGTAAATTTCGATAGTTACTTCATATATAATACACTGAGAAATGAAAAGAAACAAACCATACGTTCAGTGATGTTACCATGGAGACGGTTCAAGTTTTGCTTATTTATAGATTATGTACAAATATAATCATACACTTAATTTACAAAATCAGTGTAAGCTTCTTAAACTATGCTTCAATGAAGAAAAACGCTTAAAATATCATAAAGTAATTCCCCTGATTCTGCCTACTTTTATCTTCCCATTGATGTTTACAACTGCAATTGATCAGTCTCTTGTTGGCATATGTGAATCCTGTGCGGACTGCCTCGATATTGCCTTAGATCACAAGTTTTGTAAGAAAAGATGGATAGTGGCTAGCAGTGGACGAAACATTCGTCCTGAATTCCACTGCTAGATATTATCCATCTTTGTATGTCATAGATGAATTGATTTTTTTTAGGGATTATTTTATTCTGTTAGTCACAGATTGATTTTATTCGAGTTTCCGTTAAAAGACACAGAGTACTAAACAACTATTTTGTTGCAGCATAATACTCCTCATCAGTACTGGGAGATTCATCATAGGATCTTTGTGTATCGCAACTGGATCTTAATCATGAGAACTATTACATTGATAACTAATAGTAAAAATGGACTCTCTACGAAATGTGAAGTTTCTTGTGATCATAAGTAGGGATCAGTAGTTCGAATTTAATTTTCAACAGAAATCCAACTGATGTCAGTTCTCATCGAAAACGATCATGAAAATCAACTAGACTTTGGCGAATGTAACCATGACTCTCAAGGTACCCAGGTATCTCACCATCTGACCGCGGTAAGATATTGATTCTGACATAGAGATATGGTTACAAGACGACTAGCCTCACATGATTTTCTTTTGAAAAATTTAATTTATAAGGTAGGACGTTCTTTTTTGTGTGAGTGAAACCACATTTTTGAACAAGCTTTTTCAAGTACAACATTCTATAAGTTGAAATTCATATCTTAACTTGCTTAAGGAAAGTTTGAGTTGATATTAAGTAACTAGACTCATAAATCACTACTGAGAAACTCCTCATAGTCACGCTCAGCTCATGGATAATGCGGTGTATTTCTAACGCTGATATATCTGTGTTAATATTTGTTACTTATATTAGTATATAGAAGATTTTAGTAATCTGATAGTTGAATACATGAATCGATTAAATCTAGACCACCATATAAAACCTGGAAGCACTGGACGGCCGTCTTATCATAGCTCAGGACTCCTCAGTAGTATGCACCTACGATCCCTCTCGCATGATTCGAAACCAGGACCTTCGGTTCTCCGCGCAAACACTTCACTTTTAAACCACTGAGCCAGTCGGCATCCAACGGTGTTATTGTTTGACTTGAACCAATTCATGAAATTGAGTGATACATCCACTATTGTCTCCAGTGAAATCGATGATCTTAAGTTCGAATCCCTTTAGCGAAATCTCGGATGCTCACTATTGGATAAGCCCATACTAGGATGAACTAACCATCCAAATGATTTAAGGTTTTTTCATGGTGATCTCACTTAAATCAATTCATGATTTCAACGATTAGATAATAATATCCGAAATAATGATCGAAGTATCAATTGAAATCAAGCCATATCATTTACATTACATCATTATAAATTAGAAAATTACATTGTTTATCATGAATTTAATATAACTTACAAGTTTACCATTTTGAATGAAAAAAGAACGACTTGTGTTTCACTCTTTTTTTTTCTTTGTTAACATATTTCTCTTTTCTAAGTAAGTAGTAGCTCTTTGTGTGTGTTACTACATGTTACTACATAATTTATGATTGACATTAAGGAAAAGCTTTTTATACATTCGCCATTGAAAATGATACAATTAAAAAGGAAGGCTCAGGATAGAATAGGTTGGAGAATGATGATCGGCAGCCTATGCTCTATGGGGGTTAACAGGCATAAGTTAACAAGCCATTGGAAATATTCTTTCGTTTTTTTTGTTGATAAAATGAGGGTTATTATTCTGATTATTATTAAAGCTGACGCCTATTATATTAAATGTACCAAAGAGAGAACATGAACCTTTAATTGGTTAAGTTTGTTTTAGTTAGTTGATTATTACTAAGATAGTGTTGGTGACATGTTTCTATTCTCCAGTTTACATTTCCTTAGTTTATAACTAACTTAATTACCACTTTAAAATTCTTTATATCATCTATATATGACATTTATGTAGGATTCATTATAATTGTGATAAACGAATACATTAATTAACTAATTGTAATTCATGTTTTGCAGTATAATTCATTGAATAAATGACTTATGGATCATTGTAACTTAATTGGTTAGTATTATGCTAAATGTTAATTAGATTTATTAGATTGGTTTTATTTATCTTAAGAAGGAGGGGTTTAGATCAGTCAGTCAGCTACACCGTAGGACCAGGTACATATGTGCATCGGTCTAAGTTACCATACACCATTTACACAACAAGATGAACATCAAATTCATAGAAGTAGTTAATTCAATGGTGGTAATATATAAAAGAAAGATCGCATATAAGGATATAGTACAGGAAGAAAGAATTAGTTCGTAGAAAGAAAGATATGAAACGATTTTAACCTCACAGTTTAAAGAAAGACAAAGAGTGTATAAACCGACGCCATTGTGATCAATTATAAATCATACCACTCAGAAACTCCAACCATTGGTTACGAAAGTCAAGCGGACCCCAACCAAGTAGTCTGTATCTATCAACATGGCTAAGACTAGAAGTTAGTGACTTGAAGCACTGATATCACGTCTTTGACTTGGTCGCCCCTAACTTTCTTTCAACCATCCCCTACACTAGTCAGCAATGCGTAGGGGTTTAGATAAAGGATATTGAATGGTTAATAAAGAAATTATTACTAATATTTTTCTTTATTTGATTTAATTAATGATTTATTTATTTCATTGACTAAAGCAAGTGAAGATGTGAAGGCGCGAATCGGTAAAACAAGAGCAACATATCTACAATTGATGAACATCTGGAACTCAAAACAACTGTCAACCAACACCAAGGTCAGGATTTTTAATAGAAATGTCAAGACAGTTCTACTGTATGGGGCAGAAACTTTGAGAACTACGAAAGCCATCATCCAGAAGATATAAGTGTTTACTAACAGTTGTCTACGCAAAATACTTTGGACCCATTGGCAAAACACTATGAACAACAACCTACTATGAGAGAGAACAAACCGCGTCTCAGTGGAGAAAGAAATCAGGAAGAAGCACTGGAAGTGGACAGGACACATATAGAAGAAAACACCCAACTGCATCACAAGGAATGTCATCACTTGGAATCCTCAATGCCAAAGGAGGAGAAGTGGAAGACCAAGGAAGAAATTACCTCGAAAAATAGAGACAAACATGAGAAGAATGGACAACAATTGGTTAGAACTAAAAACAATGACCCAGGACAGAGTGAGTTGGAGAATCCTAGTCGGTGGCCTATGCTCCAGTGGGGGTCACAGACATAAGTAACTTTAGTAACAAAATGACTTATTTGTTAGTAAAGAACTAATATGGTAAAAAGTAATTTTATTTCATGCTATACGTTATTACATAACGTGGAGTTGGGTTCGTATTGACAAATTACGAAAGTAAACTAGATTCATTTTTCGATCGATCACTTAAATATATTATATAAGACAATTTAATCATCCATAATAATGATAGATTGATGACACATGAAGTTTGTTGTCTTGGAATCACTAGAGTTTATATCTTTATGTCAGCATTTTCACAACTTCAGTCAATGAGTATAGAATCTTCATGAATCACCTATTCTATACATATACATGTTTTTCTTTATCTTAGTGATAAACCTTTAGTTTGTAATAGTCTAAATTACCACATTGATAAGATTTTGACTAAATTTGGATCGATTTTAGTTCGTATAATGTGAATCCGGTGAGGAGTACCACAATATATACAGAAGTCTGTTTATATGGATTAGATGGGATACAGCTTACATTGGAATCTTGAATTCAGGTATGTTCAACTGACGAATACTAAATAAAACAAACTGTGGATTATGATTTTTATTACTAGGCATATTTTATCTGTATTCACTTGGTGTTATTTACTTGTATCTTCCCATTGTTATTTAGGACTGCGATTGATCAGTCTTTCTCTCGTTGGCATATGTGCATACTGTGCGTATTGCCTCGATATTGCCTTAATTCACAAGTATTCTAAACGAAGATGGATGGCGGCTAATAGTAGGATCCAGGACGCGCGTTTCGTCCTATTTGTGACTTGTAAGTTTGGTGTATTTGCATCTGAGATTTGATGTTCACTCTGGGACTCGAACCCAGTACCGTTCTCTTCGAACACATCATTCAATTTGTGTAAGGGCTGGGATACAGACAGAGTTATTCGTATAATAACAACTTAACTATACCATTTTATCTTTATTATTGTTGCACTTGTATGACTATGTATGCTTGAGCATTTCTCACTACCTACGCATATATATTCATTCTGCTAGCTTTAATGTTAGTCGCTTAATTGATTCGATGATTCATTAATTTCACTACGTATATATGTGTACATCTTAATCCTGTTCATTGACTAGCTTATTTGACTCACATGCTCACTCGCTTGCCTTCTTGCTTTTCGGCACTATTCTTTCATGCTTGCTTAGCGTACTTGCAAATTTGGATATGTGTGTGTGGTGCAATACTAAACGAAATCAACACTCCGTATTCGCGTTCTGAATAATACACCACTGAGGCATTATCCAATAACGGTTATCAAGACTAACTTTATGCGAAGCTTAAGGATTACATTGAATACCGACCACCGCAGGCTGATATTCCTGTCAATATCAACACCACTCAGTTAATCTAGTTGGCGATTCATCAATCTACAGTAAGTTTAATTAATTCTATATATGATTAGTCTAGTTAACCAACGAATGTACAAAATCTAATAAATAAATAATCTTTTTAATGATCTTCACAACCCTATACTGATAATTGTCATATACTCACTAACTGCTCTGAGTTCTCGTGAGTAGCCGTAACTAAAGGAACTAATCTATATCACTTAGAAACAAGTATCTACTTCAGTACAATAGAAGATGGTCGCGCAATTTCATGGATTAGTTGAAGTTAGACATTAACACCATTAGATTCCGGCTCAATAGTGTAGAGGTTAAGCGGTAGCAAGTCCTGAGTGGGATCCTAGTGCGCACTGTCGAGTAGTAGTTCCAAAACAGGAACAAAACAAACATTCAGTACTTTCAAGTTTTCAATGATCTTAATCATATAGATCTTAAACTAACCTGCATAAAATTTGTTTTGAATTTGATAAATATTCAATACTTTGATTAGATGTTATATAAACTTTAGGTTGTTGAATACAATTACTTATTTTCTTTTCAATACAATGATTAACCTTTAAATGATGATCCTCTTTATGATTATTATGATCTGAACTATTATGATTGATTAGTAATTTATGATCATTTGATGGATAACAATTGACTTCCATGATAGTATTCAATGGAATATTATTATTCCTATGTAAATTACATAATGAATATGAATGTATGAAATGAATATGATTGGATAAAGAAGTTTTCAATGTATTTTTCCAATAATCAATTGATGATAATAATGGTAAACTTTTTGTTTCTAATCTCATAGAATGATGTGATTTATGATTATAATATTGATTATGTAATTGTATCGATCCTTTAGGTAATAATAATAATAATTGATTGAATTTATTGATATGAGGTTTAATTTGATTAGAAATTGGATCATTCTGATGATCGATCATTTGTGTTACTACATGGTAACTAGGTGATATTTTTAAATTATTTATCAAATTTGTTTGTTTATTAAAATGTTGAATGGAATAATTTGTGATAGGAAGTAAAGATAATGAATGAGTGATTAGTTTAAAAGAATTTTTCCATACAGAAGTTTTTTTTGTTATTTTTGAATTGATTTTTAAATTAGGTAAAGATTTTGATTGTATCCAGGTGAATTTTATTGAATTCAATTGTTGTTCTTTATAGAATTGTGAAATCTGTACAACAAAAAAAGATATACAATAAGAGATGGATATGAGAACGAAGATAATAAAGAAATAGATATGCGTCATATGAATTATTTGATTTGTGTGAGGGTTGGGATACTATTGGGTGCTCAAACTGAAACAGGTGGGGTTTTTTTTCAGGGGGCTACACTCGGAACCTTTGACCTAAAGGTCGAATCTGCAAAGCAGTGGAGTAACGTAAGGAGATGCGATCCCATGTTATTTATTCCCTTAGGATACTGGAACCCATGTACACCATTAATTTGGAGTTAGGGTTTTCCTCAATTTTCACCGACCCGGTTAAAGCGCCAGACACTCGCTTTTCATCCTCTCATTTTTGTAAAGAACACTCCTGTCATGAGAAGAAACTGAGTAGGAATTCCCTGGCAGTGGTTGTATGCACGTGGCCATGTGAGAGCATTTCGAAAGGGAGAGTTGACTCTGCCCACTCTCGGCCGTACCAGGGAATCTGGGGGTTAAAAGGTAACTAGATATTCGAAAAAAAGATATGAAATTAATAAAGTCTGTCTGTTATGAAGTTAAATGTTCATAGTTTGTAAATCGTGAAATACTATAGTAATCTAACTTAAACTTTCGTTATCATTCTTTCTAATCAGTTGAATAAGAGAAACAGTTTTGCCTAAAATATCTATTTAGATTTACTAAACAATACATGAAGCCACATTGCAGAATAACTTTGATGTAGTGTTTTGAATTCGGCAACATGTAAACAAGCAAAGCAGATAATGTGAACAAAAACTGTGGCTCATTTATAATTATATGACTTTATAACGAATACCAATGGCCACAAAAGTTAGGTTCACGGTTTTTGAAAGATGTGATGATATAGCTTTATCAAGGAATTCCTCAAAGAATATACGTATAACGAAAAAGACTAGTCATAATAATCAGAACTCATTAGTTTGGATATTTACAAGAAATTATATAAACAAAAACCCGATCAAAAAGTTTTTGTTCATCTGAACCCAGTAGGTTAGTAGATAACGCGTTGACTTTTGAAATAAAAGATAATGAGTTCAAGATTTTGAGTTCCATATGTTGTTCAACTGTAGGAATGCGGTCTTTGCTTTACTAATCCTCGCCTTCACATCTGCATCACATCCTCCACGTTCATTGATGATGCTTCTCAGGTATGTGAAAGATTCCACATCTTCCAGAGCTTCTCCATCAAGTGTGATTGCGTTGGTGTTTTCCGTGTTGTATTCCAGGATATTGCTTTTTCCCTTCTGTACGTTGAAGCCTGCTGATGCTATACTAAATGTCTTCATCTGCATTTGTTTGTGTGTATGAGAGAAAAGAACCAAGTCATCTATTAGGTCTAAATCGTCTAGTTGATTCGGAGCTGTGAATTATAATCCATTCAACGAACAGAAGAAAGAGAACGGGAGAGAATAAACAGCTTTGTCTGATTCTGATCATTACTTGGAATGCATCTGTCAGCTTTTCTCCGTGCACGACTTTGCATTGTAGTCCCTCGTATAGATTTCATATGATATTGACGATATTTTCAGCTACTCACTACACAGTGTGGAAAATGTTTCCACAATGTTCTCCTATCCAAACTGTCAATTACTTTCTCATAATCAAAGAAGTTGATGTATAATGACAAGTTTAACAACAATCCATAGTGTGACGATTTGATCTGTGCACAACCGATCCTTTAAAGAATCCGAACTGTTAATCTCGAAGTTGGGCATCTATTGAATCTTTCATTTAATTCAGTAACATTCCATTGAAAACTTACAATAATGAAAATCTCATTGTCATTGAAAAAATTAATAAACTAATCCATTTAATGATACACTGAATACTATACAATTGACTTACATTCATATGTGTAGAATCGAACGGTTGTTGAACTGTTGGTCGGTTGGTAGTCGGTCGGTGTTGAAGTGTACATTTATTCGATAAACATGACTGATAATTATCCCTAGTATTCTGTACAAAATCATTAGTTTTAATGTCACTATTATTATTAGTAGTAGTATTAGTATTAGTAGCAGTAGTAGTAATAGTAGCAGTAGCAGTAGCAGTAGCAGTAGTAGTAGTAGCAGTATTAGCACTAGTACTAGTGGTAGTATTAATATTGTTGTATGAAATTGTATTATGTTTATCAGTAGTTTCATTAGTAGTATTATATGAAGATAAATTTTCTACTGAATGATAATTCATCCTTGATAAATTCTTTAAACGGGAATGGAATGTTGAATTTGTTTCATGATTAGTATTATTATAGCTTAATAGTTTCTTATCTAAGATTGAAATGAATCCACCGTCACATATAATTGAACATAATAAAGAATTAATTCGTTCCAATTGAGCTACTCTTTTATGTAATTGATGATAATTTAATAGGATATCCTAATAAAGAAAATATATTCAAATAAGAGATAAAACCAGATGATAAGATAAAAATTGGTAAATCAACATGTGCTCACTAGTGACTAGCTTCGTGAGGGAATTCTAGGAGTTCTAGTGAGAAGCCGTGACCAGTGGAGCTAATCCTTGTCGGGTAGAGACAATTATCTACCTCAGTACAATGGAAGTTGGTCGCGCAATTTCGTGGATTGGTTGATGTTAGATACTATCACCATTGGATGCCGGCTCAGTGGTCCAGTTGGTTAAGCGTTCGCGCGCGAAACCGAAGGCCCTGGGTTCGAATCCCGCTCGCGAGATCGTGGATGCGCACTGCTGAGGAGTCCCACAATAGAACGAAACGGCCGTCCAGTGCTTCCAGGTTTTCAATTGTGATGATCTAACATCAATTGGTTTAAGATCTCAATCAAAAATCAATAAAGAAACGATCATTTAAGCGGTTTATGCTCCTCCATGGAGAGTAACAGAAGTCAGTATCTAAGTAAGTAAGACGATGAACATTCTACTTAGAGAACGAAACTCCATCAAAATACTTTTAGTTATTTTTCATCATTAATTATTCAATTTATCTAAAACGCTTTTGTATATTTCAATATTTGAGATCATGAGTCAATTAAAGCTAGATCACCATAGAAAACCTGGAAGCATTCGACGGACGTTTTGTCTTAGTGTGGAACTCGTCAGTAGTGCGCATCCACGACCCCACTTCGTGAGGTTCAAACCCAGCACCTATGAGTTTCGCGCGCGAGCGCTTAACCACTAGACCACTAAGCCGACATCCGATAGGAAGAAATGGCCGTCCAGTCAGTCAGTCAGTCAGCTACAACGTAGGACCAGGCACATATGTGCATCGGTCCAGGTTGCCATACCGCATCAGCACAACAAGATGAACACCGGATTCATAGCAGTGGTTAGGTCAAAGGTAGTAATATGTAAGAGAAAGATTGCATATAGAGATATAGTACAAGAAGAAAGAATTGGTTCGTAGAAAGAAAGATATGAAGTGTTTTTAATCTTTTAGTTTAAGGGAAGACAGGGAGTGTATACACCGACGCCATTGTGATCGATTCTGAGCCGTGTCACCAAGAGTCTCCAACCATTGGTTACGATAGTCACGCGGACCCTAACCAAGTAGTCTGCATCTACCAATATGGCTCAGACTAGAAGTTAGTGATTTCAAGCACTGATACCACGTTTTGGTTTGGCCGCCCCTAACTTTCTTCCAACCATCTCCAATACCGGATAGCATTGCACGTCGTGGCCGTCCAGTGTTATATATATACTAATGAAATAGATTATTACTACGGCCAAAATAATGACAATAAATATTGTTCGGTAGTCGTTGTGATAATAATACCGTAGTGAATGAGAACTCAAGTGGGAGACAGTCGAATGAATGTGAACACAATATAACAGAACGTTTTAGTATAATCTCAGAACCATACAGTAAATACTACATTTGCAAAATGTCAACCAATCATCTCAGAGTTCAGAGTTCTTTCAATTCTACACCAATCATTCTTTGTTTTCGTTCTTTTTTCTTTGATCTTCTTAACCTTCTGCTGCCAGACATTTCATTTTCGATTGATGATACACACTACATCAGTTGTACACACCCCAATACCATTGATAATAATAATGACAATAGTAATTATTAATAAGAATGTCATATAAGATAAGAGACATCAATGTATGATTAAGAATAAAGGAACAATGTCATGGAATGGATCGACGAGATTATAATTTATAGACGAACCAATTAGATATAAGATAGCAGGTCTCGGATTTTGGCGATAAATTCACTCAACCATGTGGATAAATAGATTCTTGGCCTCATAGCTGATATCAGTTCATAATGAAAATCCTAAATCTAATTCCTTACCTTAACCATCAACTGTAGATCATAATCCTATTTCCTTACACTGGTTTATAACACTTATTTGATCCTAGTTATTAGATGGACACTCTCACGGTTAGTCTAGCATCGCTCAATGGTCGTCTATAAATTAGATTCTCACCAATGAAGCATAAATTATAATAAAGAGAAATAATAGTACCGTTACTTTATACTGTCAATATTAAAACTAAGAAAATGACAAGGAATTAAATTTAGAGTGTCCTCCATGAACTGGCATCAGTTATAATGCTAAAAACATCATTTAACCAAATTGATAAGTGAATTTTGCGCCAAAACCCAAGGCCACTTATCTTATACCTGATTGGTTCATTCATAAAATGATAGTCTCATCAAAAATTTAAAAAAAATTACAATTTATTATTCACTTACTTTTTGCGATATATTTGTATAAAGTAAAAGATTAGTTAGCAGTTCCATTGTATTAGAATTCTTCATATTAACATATGAAGTTGATGTTAAGTTTACTGTAGTTGAATTCATTTGATTAGAATATAAACATTTTAAATATTCTTTAAGATCTTCTTGTCCATTTAATGATTTTGTTAGAGGTAGAACCTTTGAAATGAAAATAATAGTGAACAAAGTCATCATCAGTAAGGTATTAGTTCTATGAAGAAATGTAAACAAGGAATAACTAAGATGATCTAATAGAAAGATTATAATACTAGATTATATAATACGAATAATAATAACAATAGAATTAATAAGTTAGTAACGAATTATAACGTGAATGAAATAAGATGACTAATGGTTTAGTGGTTAAGTGCTCTCACACGAGACGAATAGGTCCTATGTTCGAATCTCGTGAGGCGAGGTCGTGGATGCGCGCTGCTGAGGAGTCTCAAAGTAGGATGAAACGACCGTTCATTGCTTTCAGGTTCTCCATAGTGGTCTAGGTTCAATTGACTCATGGTCTAAACCATTGAAATTAAAATGTTTTTGTTACAATAATTACAGGTCATAGAGGTGGAAAGAATAAATAATGTGATATTATGCGCTTTCATAAATAAGACAATGAGAATAAGAGACATAAGTGAAGGGATAAATGAAGTAATAATGATAATAATTAAGGTCAAGGTAACGATAACGATAAGATTTACTGCATTAGTACGCATAATTCTGGCTTGAGCTCATATACGATAAGAGCCTCGGCTATTTTTTCTAGGAGTTGGATAGCAAGGAATCTAGGTAGATTTGAATGAATCATATATACAACCTTAAAATCAAACCGTGGGTCCGTAGAATGATTACAGTTGATTAGGTGTTCAAGTATAGAACTCCTAACTGCTATCCTCTCACTCTTGTAGAACCAAACTGGAACGTATTCCCGTATCCGAATTGAAAGCAATCGCTAGCTATGGCCAATGTACCTTACTACATTCACGTTATAATTCGTTACTAATTTATTATGTCCATTGTTATTATTCGTGTTACGTAATCTAGTATTGAAATAATAACGTGTTAGCAAAAAAAAGTAATAGAAGAGTAGCTAATCAATAAAAAATAAGGAGCCTTGGATACAACATAATCGATAGAGTTCTTAGTTCAGAAACTTTTGCGTGATTTTACAAAGTATGTTTAAATTTACAGAAACACAATAGTAAGTAATCCAACTGACTTTAAAGAAGTAACTACAGATGTTTTCAATTTAAGATTTTTATTAAAAATCGAGAGAGTTTTGGGACAATGAAACTGCTAATATACGTATACTTTAATCATGTAATTCCTAAATAACTAAACCATTCATATTTGTGTTCTCTTTATCATGAGCTTTCTTTTGACCTATGAACTATTATTATACGATTTACCATTCTTGAGTTATGCCCAGACTATTCATTACTACCTGCCATATTCACAGCCACATTTGACTAATTCTTGTACAAATATTGTTTCCTATTTTATGGTATGATGTAGTCTGTTTGGTTGGTATATAAACCGAGTATGTTTGAAATACCTGATTCATATTGCAGAGGCTGAGATTTGTGTTCTAGACTTAACTGGCTGGACTAGGCGGAAAGAAGGACCGATAGGACTCTAGACTGCTCATACGTGTTTTATGTGTCGTTGGTCCGATCGATAAATCGCTGTTCTCTAATTGGCGTTATCATCATGTTATACATCAATAGGACACAGGGCACAAACCCTCAAGTTATAACTGAACACATTTCTTTTAAATATTAAAACGCAGAATTGACTTATTAACAGATTGATAGGTCGAAACATTTTTTTCTTCAAAATCCAGTTACTTCTAAATTGGCTAGTTTAATAGAATAGATAGATTATAGTTAGTAATTAAATCTGGGTTGAGGTTCTCGTCCTATATGAGATTCATCAGCTGAAGGTATCTGCATTCCAGGGTTGATATTCATGCAAGAACTTGAACTGGATACCTTTTGCTCCAGTTGTCAATGCCGTATCTCTTGATCCGATGAGTAACGGGTATTAATTTAATCTAATTTATAAGTGTTTGAGGTATCTCAGATAATACATAATGTGGATATGCATTCCACTGCTATTCGCAATCTATCTGTTCTCTAAAAATTTGTCATAATGCAGTTAGATTAAGGCAGTCAGCACAAGATGCACACGTGCTGACTAATACTAGTCAGAATTCATTTAACAATAGTAGTAAAAACGATTTAAATAATTTGAACAATGGATTAACTGGTCAGTACTTAATTCGGTGACTAAAATTCATCATAATTGAAGCATATGTTGGTTATGAAGTTATTACAATCTCCAGAAAACCCCTTCTGATACCAATCAAAATATGCTCACTAATGATTGGCTTCAAGATGTATATCCTGAAGTTCTACTGAGAAGCAGTGACCAGTGGAGTTCAACCGGGTCTGTTGTGAGTTAGGAACTCACTGATGACAATCGTGGATGTGTCGCTCAATTCCGTGGATTGGTTGAAGTTAGACATGCTCAGTGATCTAGTGTTTAGGCGCTCGCACGCGAGACCAATATGTCCTAGGTTAGAATATCGCGAGCCGGGATTGTGGATGCACACTGCCGAAGAGTCCAACACTAAGACGAAACGGCTGTCAAGTGCTTGCAGGTTTCCCATGGTGATCTAGCTTCAATTGACTCATGATCTCAACTATTGGAATTAGTACCACCTCCACATAGCCGCTTCTGATGCATACGATAGTTTTGAAAAATTTCAAGTATCTTTAGAAATCAAAATAGAATGTTAGTTAAACACACTTATCCTGGGATTTTTCCCATACCTTTGCGTTTTTCCTCCAAAAAAATGAAATGGTGAAGCTAAAAGAGTTCTTAAGTTGTAGTGACTTTATTTCGTTACTCTTACTTACTTACTTACTTACGCCTGTTACTCCTCGTGAAGGAGCATAGGCCGCTCACCAGCATTCTCCATCCAACCCTGTCCTGGGCAATCCTTTCCAGCTCCTTCCAGTTCTTATTCATCCTTTTCATATCTGCTTCTATTATCCGACGTAATGTGTTCTTTGGCCTTCCTCTTTTCCGCTTCCCTTCAGGATTCCAAGTTAGGGCTTGTCTCGTGATACAGTTTGACGATTTGCGTAATGTATGTCCTATCCATTTCCATCGTCTTCTCCTAATTTCCTCTTCAGCTGGAAGTTGGTTTGTTCTCTCCCACAGAAGGCTATTGCTGATGGTATCTGGCCAATGGATGTTGAGTATCTTGCGTAGACAGCTATTTATAAATACTTGTACTTTCTTGATTGTGGTTGTTGTAGTTCTCCAAGTTTCAGCTCCATACAGTAGAACTGCCTTGACGTTCGTATTGAAGATTCTCACTTTGATATTGGTTGAAAGTTGTTTTGAATTCCATATGTTCTTCAATTGTAGGAATGCGGCCCTTGCTTTGCCAATCCTCGCCTTTACGTCTGCATCTGAACCTCCTTGTCTATCGACGATGCTTCCCAGATATGTGAAGGATTCTACATGTTCCACAGTTTCGCCATCAAGAGTGGTTGGATTGCTGTTTTCCGAAATGTATTTGACGACCTTGGTTTTACCTTTGTGTATGCTGAGGCCTACTGATGCAGAAACTGCTGCTACACTGGCTGTCTTTATCTGCATCTGTTCGTGCGTATGCGATAGGAGGGCTAGGTCATCTGCGAAGTCCAAATCGTCTAATTGATTCTGAGCTGTCCATTGTATTACGTGTTTTCCTTCAGATGTTGAGGTCTTCATAATCCAGTCGACCACCAGAAGAAAGAGGAAAGGAGAGAGTAAACAGCCTTGTCTGACTCTGGTCCTTACTTGGAATGCATCTGTCAACTGTCCTCCATGCACGACCTTGCACTGTAGTCCGTCGTATGAGTTCCGGATAATATTGACAATCTTCTCAGGAACTCAGGAGTGTCGAAGAAGTTTCCATAATGTCCTCCTATCTACACTGTCGAATGCCTTTTCATAATCAATGAAGTTGATGTATAGTGACGAGTTCCACTCAACTGATTGTTCGACGATGATCCGTAGTGTTGCAATTTGGTCTGTGCACGACCGATCCTTACGGAATCCAGCTTGTTGATCTCGAAGTTGAGCGTCTACTGCATCCTTCATCCGGTTCAGCAACACTCTGTTAAAAACCTTCTCTGGTATTGACAGTAGTGTTATGCCTCTGTAGTTTTCACATTTGCTCAGATCTCCTTTCTTTGGAATCTTGACGAGGTGCCCTTCTTTCCAGTCCATCGGCACTTGTTCCTCCTCCCAAATCTTTTTGAATAGAGGGTAAAGCATGCTTGTGGTTACTTCGACGTCTGATTTCAGTGCTTCAGCTGGTATGTTGTCGGGTCCTGCTGCTTTCCCGTTCTTGATTTGTCTGACGGCCGCTCTAATTTCTTCCGTCGTTGGTGGGTTGACATCTATAGGAAGATCTGTGTGTGCTGCTTCGATGTTCGGTGGATTCATAGGAGCCGGCCTATTCAGGAGTTCCTCAAAGTATTCTACCCATCTGTTACGCTGTTGTTGAATTTCAGTGATTGGCTTGCCTTTCTTGTCTTTGACCGGCCTCTCATTTCGTTACTCAGTCTCTTTGATAATCGTTCTTATATAAACCCCAAAGGTGTTTGAAATCAGAAGTCAATGAGAATCGACAACTACAGTTTTTTAGTGGATAGTACAGATCACACAGCTATAAGCACATCGATCGAATTTGAAGTAGATAGGCGAATGTATGTATACGAGCGAATGCATAGGTAAATTTATAGTCGAATCGTATAAGGGAACAGCAAGGCAAAGCAAGAATGAATCATCGAGTGATATTTAAGCTATTGACAGTTAAGCTAAAGAAAGATATGTATGTAGGCTGTCACATGTGACCAAGTGTACATGTTTATACAGACATGATAGTGATCTTAATAGTGCAAAGAAATAGACTAATTGTTAATGTCCGGATAACATTATCTGTTAAGTAAGTTAATTAAAGGGCTAACAAAAATTTAACCATAATCCAGATTCACTGTAGGAGAATTACCATGATGTCATATGTTAACAAATATCTATGCTTCCTGATTTTCAATGATTATTTAATTCAGTCATCTCGTGTTATAAACCACAAA